GATGCTGTACTTTGTCAAATGCTTTTTCCGCATCTATCGAGATGATCATATGGTTCTTATTTTTAAGTCTATTGATGTGGTGAATAACATTTATTGATTTCCGTATATTGAACCAGCCTTGCATCCCAGGGATGAATCCTACTTGATCATGGTGCACAATTTTTTTGATATGTTTTTGTATCCGAGTGGCCAGAATTTTATTGAGGATTTTTGCATCTAGGTTCATTAGAGATATTGGTCTGTAGTTTTCTTTCTTTGAAGTGCCTTTGTCTGGTTTAGGAATCAGGGTGATGTTGGCCTCGTAGAATGAATTTGGAAGTTCTCCCTCTTTTTCTATTTCCTGAAGTAGCTTGAAAAGTATTGGTATTAGTTCCTCTTTAAAGGTTTTGTAAAACTCTGCTGTATACCCATCCGGTCCTGGGCTTTTCTTAGTTGGTAGTCTTTTGATGGTTTCTTCTATTTCCTCAATTGATATTGGTCTGTTTAGGTTGTCTATATCCTCCTGACTCAATCTGGGCAGATCATATGACTTAAGAAATTTATCGATGCCTTCACTATCTTCTAATTTATTGCAGTATAAGGATTCAAAATAATTTCTGATTATCTTCTGTATTTCTGAAGTGTCTGTTGTGATATTGCCTCTTTCATCCCGTATGTTAGTAATTTGAGTTCTCTCTCTTCTTCTCTTCGCTAGCATGGCTAAGGGTCTGTCGATTTTGTTTATTTTTTCAAAGAACCAACTTTTAGTTTTGTCAATTTTTTCAATTGTTTCTTTTGTTTCGATTTCATTAATTTCAGCTCTGATTTTAATTATTTCTTGCCTTCTACTTCTTTTGCTGTTGTTTTGCTCTTCTTTTTCTAGGATTTTGAGATGAAGTATGAGATCATTTATTTGTTGGTTTTTTCTTTTTTTAAGGAATGAACTCCAAGCAATGAATTTTCCTCTTAGAACTGCTTTCAACGTGTCCCATAGATTCCGATATGTTGTGTCTGTGTTTTCATTTATCTCTAAGAATTTTTTAATTTCCTCCTTGATGTCTTCTATAACACATTGATCATTCAGTAACCTATTGTTCATTCTCCAAGTGATGCATGATTTTTCCTTCCTTCTTTTATCGTTGATTTTCAGTTTCATTCCATTATGATCAGATAAGATGCATGGTATTATCTCTACTCCTTTATATTGTCTAAGAGTTGTCCTATGACATAATATATGATCTATTTTTGAGAAGGATCCATGTGCTGCTGAGAAAAAAGTGTAACTGCTTGATGTTGGGTGGTATATTCTATATATGTCAATTAAGTCTAGGTTATTAATTGTGTTATTGAGTTCTATAGTTTCCTTATTCAACTTTTGTTTGGAAGATCTGTCCAGTGGTGAGAGAGGTGTGTTGAAGTCTCCCATGATTATTGTATGGTGGTCTATTAGACTCTTGAACTTGAGAAGAGTTTGTTTGATGAACATAGCTGCACCATTGTTTGGGGCATATATATTTATGATTGTTATGTCTTGTTGGTGTATGGTTCCCTTGAGCAGTATGTAGTGTCCCTCTTTATCCATTTTGATTAACTTGGGCTTGAAATCTATTTTATTTGATATGAGTATGGACACACCTGCTTGTTTCCAAAGTCCATATGAGTGATATGATTTTTCCCAACCTTTCACCTTCAGCCTATGTATGTCTTTTCCTATCAAATGCGTCTCCTGTAGGCAGCATATTGTTGGGTCTTGTTTTGTGATCCATTCTACTAGCCTGTGTCTCTTAATTGGTGAGTTTAAGCCATTAACATTTAGGGTTATTATTGAGATATGGGTTGTTCTTCCAGCCATATTTGTTTATTTATGTTACTAAACATGGTTTGTTTTCCTCTTCGATTATTTTCCCCCCTTTACTGTCCTACCTCCCACTGTTGGTTTTCATTGTTATTTTCCATTTCCTCTTCCTGTAATGTTTTGCCGAGGATGTTTTGAAGAGATGGTTTTCTAGCTGCAAATTCTTTTAACTTTTGTTTATCGTGGAAGGTTTTAATTTCATCTTCCATCCTGAAGCTTAATTTCGCTGGATACACAATTCTTGGTTGGAACCCATTTTCTTTCAGTGTTTGAAATATGTTATTCCAGGATCTTCTAGCTTTCAGAGTCTGTGTTGACAGATCAGCTGTTATCCTGATTGGCTTACACCTAAATGTAATCTGCTTCCTTTCTCTTGTAGCTTTTAAAATTCTCTCCTTATTCTGTATGTTGGGCATCTTCATTATAATGTGTCTAGGTGTGGATCTCTTATGATTTTGCACCTTCGGCGTCCTGTAGGCTTCTAGGATTTGGGATTCTGTCTCATTCTTCAAGTCTGGGAAGTTTTCTCGTATTATTTCATTGAATAGATTGCTCATTCGTTTGGTTTGGACCTCTATACCTTCCTGTATCCCAATGACTCTTAAGTTTGGTCTCTTTATGTTATCCCATATTTCTTAGATGTTCTGCTCATGGTTTCTTAACAGTCTTGCTGAGCTGTCTATGTTCTTTTCAAGTTGAAATACTTTGTCTTCATTGTCTGATGTTCTATCTTCTAAGTGTTCTACTCTGCTGGTAGTATTCTCAATTGAGTTTTTAAGTTGGTTTATTGCTTCCTGCATTTCTAGGATTTCTGTTTGTTTGTTTTTTATAACCTCTATCTCCCTGTATAGTTGATCTTTTGCTGCCTGGATTTGTTTGTGTAATTCATTGTCGAAGTGATCTTTCATTGTCTGATTTTGCTGTCTAATGTCTTCCTTGAGATTCCAGATCATCTGAAGCATGTATATCCTGAATTCTTTATCTGACATTCCATCTGCTGCAGCTGTTACCTCTTCTAAAGTTGAATTGACCTGCATTGCTTGTGGTCCTTTCTTTCCTTGTCTTTTCATACTGCTTGCGTTTCTTTCTGCTTGGTGAAACTGTTGTGTTTTTGAAAAATTTTCCCCCTATATATTTATATTGCTCTTGTATAGTTGAAAAGTCTCTCTTGCAGGGTGGGTCGGTGGTCTGCCTACCTTACAGGCGTGGGCGGCAGCTCTGCTCTGCCCCTCCTCCAATTGGTGTGATGTGTCTACCACGCCCGCGGACCGCTGGGCCTGTGCTGCCGGTCGGTCGCAGGTCTGCCTACCTTGCAGGCGCGGGAGGCGGCTCTGCTCTGCCCCTACTCCAATTGGGGTGATGTGACTACCGCGCTGGCGGGCCGCTGGGCCTGTCCCGGGCGCGGGCAAAAGCTCTGCTCTACCCCTACTCCAATTGGGGTGACGTGTGTACCCCGCCAGCAGGCCACCGGGCCTGATCCGCCAGTCGGTTGCAGGTCTGCCTACCTTGCAGGTGTGGGCGGCGGCTCTGCTCTGCCCCTCCTCCAATTGGTGTGACTTGTCTACCACACCCGCGGACCGCTGGGCCTGTTCTGGGCGTGGGCGAAGGCTCTGCTCTGCTCCTACTCCAATTGGGGTGACGTGCCTACCACCTCGGCCGGCCGCTGGGCCTGTTCCACCGGTTGGTCGCAGGTCTGCCTACCTTCCGGGCACGGGCAGCGGCTCTGCTCTGCCCCTACTCCAAATGGAGTGACATGTCTGTCGCGCAGGCAGGCCACTGGGCCTGTCCCGCTGGTCAGTCGCAGGTCTGCCTACCTTGCAGGCGCGGGCGGCGGCTCTGCCCTGCCCCTCCTACCACGCCCGCGGACCGCTGGGCCTGTCCTGCTGGTCGGTCGCAGGTCTGCCTACCTTGCGGGCACGGGTGGCGGCTCTTCTCTGCCCCTACTCCAATTGGGGTTATGTGACTACCACGCCGGCGGGCTGCTGGGCCTGTTCCGGGCGCGGGCGGCGGCTCTGCTCTGCCCCTGTGGGTTTATGACAAAGTGAGAGAGACTCGGGTGTTTGTGACTCACTTTCTTTACCAGGAGACCAACTGTTTCTGTCGCTGCTGTTATCGATGAAGTTCTCTCCTCCGCCGCTTTCTGATGACATCAGATCTCTGCCATGTTGGTATCTCATGCGAATGGCAGCATTTCGTTCCCTTTGCCGGGTGACCAAAGCAACGGGTGAGTCCTGACCGGCCCTCACAAGCCCCGTCTCAGTCCTGTTGCCACTGCCTATGAAGGCTCGGTTGGTATTTACCTCCACATTATTCAGCAGGACCCGGACCGAGAAGCAGTTTCCGCGGGTTCTTTATCCCTGGGCCAGACCAGTTCCGGGAGCCAGAATTCGGCTGCTCCGTGCTCGGTGTATGTTCTGATAGGAGCAGGCTCCAAGAAGCAGTTTCCGTGGGTTATTTAGCACTGAGCCTTAGTAATTTGTCTGCGAGCCGCAGGCGAATGGCAGCCTGAAATTACCTGTTCTATGGCTGAATGAGCTGCGATCAGTCGAAAACAGGGATGGTGACGTCAGCTCTCCAAGATGGTGGCCGCTGGCTTCCTCTGTGGTCTGACCGGTGTGGAGAACTGAATTGGACCGCTTCCTTCCCCCGTCTCAAACCCAGAATTCAGCACTGAGTATGGTGATTGCACAGCTGGCAGAAGCCCGCAGAAACTGCAGCGCTGTATCTTTGCGTTGCTACCTCCTCGTTTCCCAGCGTGCGCCGCAGACTCTAGCCGCGGGGCGATTTGCTGAATAAGCAGCGTGACCCTCCGTGCGGACAAATCTCTCGCGTTTGAGTCCCCGTAGCTGATCCTCGTGCGATGGAAATCCTTCCTCTAGGTTTTGGAGCACCCCAATTTTGCTGGAAATTCCTAACAAGATAGCTTTTAGCCGTTCTAACTCGTCATTCTCCCGCACAGTGACGCGGTACACAGGGGTAATGCTCTCCCTTTGCCGCCATCTTCCCCCGGATCCAGACATGTATACTTAAGTAGCAAGTATAATAAAATGTTAATTACAGTATCTAGGAGGTGACAGCTCTATTGTTGCTTATTCTTTCAACTTTTACACACTGAAACTTTAAAATAAGATAATAGAAAAAAAAATTAATACTTTATGTTTCTTACCAACGCCTAGAGTTATTAACAATCACTCCGTTATCTATCGAGAATGTATCTGTTGGTAGTCCAGCAATATTCCAAGCTCTAATTTTTACTGGATCACCGAGGGTCTTACTTAGTGAGAATTCTTCTGAACATGGGATTTTTTTCTCCTGTAGGAAATAAACAAAAATCTGATGTTTTCTTTCATCTTGCTAAATGGAACATTTTTTAGATTAAAAAATATATTTAATTACCATTAGGTATTATGTAATAACTCTAAGAGCCAGGGAAGGGAAAAACTGAATTAAATGTTGAGCTGTAAAAGTATTTTACTGATCAAAGCAGCAGCAAACAAAAACAAGAAGCAAGAAAAACCCTGTATTTTCACTTTCGCCCAAAATACTTCAAAATGTACTTGAATGTTCTAAAACAAAACTTACTAAATATAAAACTAGTACCTTGCACAACATGCTCCAATCTTCTGTACAAGTTTGTCGAAAGCCAGAAGTGAAAGCACCAAGGTAAGCTATTACTCCTGCTGATACTAAGACATCACCAGTTAAATTTTCATATGTTATCTGAAGGTCATCTGCAGCTTGCGCCCATCTGTGTGATTAGCCAGAGGCAAAAGAGACATACAATAGATAGGGAACAACAGAAGACAGTAAGTAAAAGGGCAAGGGGCTTCCAAACCAAATTCTATAACAAAAAGTTATTTAAACCTTGGGTACTTGTTTATCTGTACAATAAGGAGATTGGATCCCTTCTAACTCTAATATGCTATTATTTATACCTATACATCTATATTATTTGAATGATAATCTGCCTTTCATTTTTAGAATATTAGGTAAATGGATGGCATTGGAGAAGATAATGCTAAGTGAAGTTAGCCAAAAAATCCCCAAAAAACAAATGCCAAATGTTTTCTCTGATATAAGGATGCTGACTCATAGTGGGGTAGGGAGGGGGAGCATGGGAGGAATAGATGAATTCTAGATAGGGAAGAGGGGTGGGAGGGAAAGGGAGGAGGCAGGGGACTAGCAAGGATGGTGGAATGTGATAGACATCATTATTCAAAGTACATGTATGAAGACACAAATTGGTGTCAACTACTTTATATATAACCAGAGATATGAAAAATTGTGCTGTATATGTGTAATAAGAATTGTAATGCATTCCGCTATCATTTATTTTTTAGAAAATAAAAAAAGAATATTAGGTATTTCTTACAGGACCTAGCTCTTCAGAACAAGCAAAAACAAAACATGAGCATTTTGCCTAATAATTTTTGCTAGGATGATTTAGTCTAATGTTCCTACTATTTGTTTCAGTATTCATTGTTAGACTGTTAACAGAAAACATTTGCAACTCACTATAAAAACTGTATGTAAGTTGTATAGAAGTTGAAATACTAAGATTGATATTTTTCTCATTTAATGGAACCCTCACAATAAAAAGTTATATTCCAAAACCATCTGATCTGCACTACAAAACACTTTCAAAGACATATTACCTTATCATGCTATGGATTGAACAAATATAATTAATGAATGAAATAGTTTGCTGTCCAGCCCAGGTAAGTAGATTAGAAAAAAGCTAACTGCCTTTATTAAATTAAATCAGTTTTATCTTCTTTGAAATAGTTTAAACCATTTTATCACAAAAAAAATTTTGAACACCTACAAAATTGGGAAGAATTATATAACTAACAACTACATATCACAAATGAAAAACCAGGGCTGGGGTTGTGGCTCACTGGTAGAGTGCTTGCCTAGCATGTGTGAGGCACCGGGTTCGATCCTCAGCACCACATAAGTAAATATCAGGCTGAGGTTGTGGCTCAGTGGTAGAGTGTTCACCTAGTACATGTGAGGCCCTTAGTTTGATCCTCAGCACTGAAGGGAAAGCAAGAGATGGGTAAGCAAGAAATGAAAGACTGAGACCAGGCAGAGATACATAGGACAGTTTATTTATAAGAGCTGACAAAATAAAGGCAATCTCTCTATAGAAGAGAGAGGCAAAACAGGCTTGAGTTCTGGGACTTTTATGGGGGAGGCTCAGTAGTCAGAGACAAGCAGGTCCTAATGTAGTTGGTTAAGGGCTGGGTTGGTATGAGGGAGTGGTGAGCCTTTCTCAGAAAAGCCCTTGGGCAGGAAAGTGAAACTTTTTTCTTAAATTGGTGGCTGTCACTTAAGATGGCCATCCAGATACTAAGCAAGGAACTTATAAGCACCACATAAAAATAAATAAATAAAATAAAGGTATTGTGTTCACTACAACTAAAAAATAAATATTTAAATAAATAAATAAAGGTATTGTGTCCATCTATAACTAAAAATATTTTAAAAAATAGTTACTAACTGCCTTTTTTTATAAAGATGTAGATAGATACAATACCTTTACTTATTTATTTTTATGTGGTGCTGAGGACCGAACCCAGTGCCTCACACTTGCTAGGCAAGCACTCTACCACTGAGCTACAACCCCAGCCTCTACTAACTGCCTTTTTAAAACTATTTAAAAGCAAGTTACAAACACCATGCTCAACACTGATATTCATCTTTGGAGAGGTCTAGCCAAGTATCTTGTACAATGTCTCATATTCTCAAGTAGCCATTATAAAACTGGTAGTAATATAAAAAAAAATACCCTGAGGTAGTCACATAGTCAAGTCTGACATTCTTAAATCTTGTTAAAATGAGTAGAAATCTGACCTTGTTTTTTCTCCACCCAGTCCCCCAATTAGTCTTGAGGCTCTTTCAAGTTTCTTAGCACAGAGTTCCACCTGATCTTCTAAAGCAGCCTTTTCCTCAGTTTTCTCTTTAAATGTCTTTTGTAAATTTTCCAAATGGTGTTCTACTTCTGCCAGTTCTGCTCTCTTCTGATTCAAAAGTCCCATTGTCTCAGCTAAGGATTTCTGAGCTTCTGCTAAGCGAGCTTTTTTAGGCGCCACGACCTATTTGGAAACAATATATATAGATGTGAACTATGTAAAACTTTAAATAATTCCTTTTTAGGTATTATGAATACAAATGTATTAAGATAATAAATTACATAAAAGTAAAAAAGTATGTATATAGTTCACAAAACATATAAATCATCTGGACTAGTAAAATGTCACCTACAAAATAAATTATTTCGGATTGACAAAGTAAGAAACTGCTGGTTGCATGACAAACAGAGAAAATTTATAATAGAAATCAGAAGTATTTAAGGGGTTGGGGTGTGGCTCAGTGGAAGCACATGTGTGAGGCACTGGGTTCAATTCTCAGCACCACATATAAATAAATTAATAAAATAAAGGTCTGTCAACACTAAACAATATTTTAAAAAAAGAAATAAGAAGTATTTAAAATACATGAATGTGTTTTTGGTTTTGGTGTTTTTTATTTAATTTCCAAATCTGTGATTTTCCTCCTAGTCACCCCAAGGTACACATATACATGGTGTGATAAGAACTGTGAAAATGAAATACAAAGGAGAGAGCTCCTTGGTATTCAGTTTCACAAAATTAATTTTTCCTTGACAAATACTGAAAAGCCACTTTGTTGAGAAAAGAGAGATCTTCTAAAGTTGTTATTTTGTTGTACTTATTAGCATGTCAAGAATGAGGTTTGGCCAACTTGATCACTAGTACAAAAAATTCAGAAGATGATCAGAGAGTCTGTGCCAGTTAGAAAAAAGGTCCTCCTGACAGTTCTGGTTCATCAACATGAATGAAGAAGACAAAGAGGGAAGTGAAAGCATGGTTATCAGCTACCAATATCCTGCTTTCTCTCCTCTGAAATCCTGAAGGAAGAGCATACTGAAAAAGCAAACAGAGGACGGAAGCTCCCTTTCCTAGTTTGGATTTCAGAGGGGACACTGCTAGTTATCTCCCTTCCATCCTCTTGCCTCAACATGGGGCAGCTGCATCAGAATAAAAATGGCAGTGTGGATGTATAGAGTGGGAAGACAGGACAGAGCTTGAATACTTTGGTTTCTCTGCTTTGTAGAAAGGATCCAGAAGAATCCATATGCCCTGTGGGACAGTGGAAATTAGCCAAATTGAGAGGTTATCAGCCTTCCATGAGATTACTATGTGGATAGACTAGATGTTCAAGGGAAGGACATCCCAGATGAAATTAGTTTTATTTACATTAAAGCCCCTACCTCTATACAAGCAAATGTTATATTCATTAAGGAATATCTCAAATTGTTGTAGTCTGATCACTCGTTCTGTTCTCTGAATTTATTCTAAATACATGCTACTACGTATTTTCATCTACATTTTAACTTTCATTTCCTGCTTCCCTGGGTATAATTATGCCTTTTAGGGGGTAAAGTTTGTGTTTCTCTGGTCCTTTACTAGACATACTTACAAAATGCTCTTAACAATTCTCCACTCTCCCATGAACTTGATCCCAATGTGTACTTTATAAAAGGTTCCTGATCAGTGACTGCCATGGCTTCAGGGGATCGTTCCATAATCTCTGTTAATGGTTACCTACTAGATCTTCTTCTGATCTTTTCAGTCAACTTAAAAAATTACTTTATTGTGATATAATTCACATATCACTCAATTTGCCCATTTAAAGTGTATAATTCAATGGTTTTTAACATATTCACGGAATTGTGCAACAATCATCACAATTCTAGTACATTTTCACTACCCAAAACATAAACTCCATAACCATTATTCCCACTTCAACCCTTCCCCATCATCCTTTCCCCTAATCTTTTGTCCCCAGGCAATCACTTAGCTACTTTCTGTCTCAGAATATTTCCATATTCTGAACACTTTATTCCTCCTTTCTAACTATAATTACAATATCCTTTGACCAAGATCTCTCCATCCCCTCTCCCTTCTAATCACCCAAGCCTCTAGTAACTACTTTATAATATCTAAAGAAAATGAATTCAGTATATTAAAAAGATATAGGCACTCCCACTAAGACATAATCAACGTAAGTGTCCATCAATAGATAGTTGGAGTTGTGGTACCTATGCACAATGGAATATTATTCATCCATAAAAGGAATGAAATCTTCTCATTTCCAACAACACAGGTGAACTAGGAGGATGTTATATTAAGTGAAATAAGCCAGCCACAGAAAGATAAATTCCACATGATCTCACTTAAATGTAGAATCAAAAAAGCTGAATCAAATTTTTAATCTGCTGCTTTGCTCTCAATGTTTTGAAATTTTCTTTTTCAGTTCTCCCCTCATCAAACCCAAATTCCCCTTTGTCTCAGGGCCTTAGGTTAGTCTGGATAATTCCACTGCTCATCCATGCTCCCACAGCACTACTACAGTACCAGGTCCAACCAGGAATAGTCTCTGTATCTTCTAGGTATACAATCAACATCTGATGATTACGCTGTAACAGGACAAATTCTCTCTGGAATTGCTTTGAAAAACTCTTTAACTAGTAAATATATGCATAGGCTTTAGTTTCTGAGAATATTTTAGCAGAAAATAGATATGAAAATGCTCAAAATACCTTTGCAACTCTGTCATACACTTCCATAGCCATGATCCACTTACACAGACCCTCTGCTGCAGAAGAAGCTTTAGCAATCTTAGCGGGGTCAAATTCGGGGTTTGTCAAATATTCACCACGGATCTTCGGCATAACAGTCACCTATACAATAAAGATTTAGACTTTAAAATTTCAACATGTATCACAGTCATAAGATGAAGAAAGCATATGTAATAAAAACATTTGAATAAAGAAGTAATATGTTGTCTTTAAAAGCCAAAATCAATATTTTGAGATAATTTAAAAACAAGCATAACTATAGTAGAAACACAAGTAATATTTATGTGAAAATATGCAAATTTATTATAGATACTAAAGCAAGATTTTTTTTTCAAGAATATTAAAAGACTCTTGTGGGTTGATGGAAAAATGAAAACAAAGTAAAAGAACAATTAAACATTAATGAAATAACAATGTGAATGGAAAAGATAATACTTTATCTTAAATAAATACATGTATAGTTTCCTAATAAACTATTTGTTGTAAGAAGACATTTAGAGAACTCTTTCAAGTCAATAATACAATAAACCAGTAATATATTAAATAACTTTCCAATCATCTGAAAATGATGTTTTATGCATTATGACAACTCATAATACAATCATTAGTAAATGCAATGTCCTTTTATTAATTACCTTAATCCTAAAAAAGGACTTTCTCCTTATGTTTTATAAAGCATTCTATAATTTTAAAGATCATATACATCTTGGCAAAGTCACATCTAGAGAAAAAAAAAATACAATATAACTCACTGGGATGTTGTCCTTGTCATATTCTCTCAAATCTCTTAAGAAATTCATATCTCCCAGAAGTTTTTTGCTAGGTCCCCAGTAATCAAATATCTAAAAATAAAATTTATAGAACTTACTAAATGTGCAATTAAAAATACTCAATATGAACGGTTGCCCTGCTGGCCCCACCCACCACACGGAGCAATGACCATGCTTCAACTCCCCATCTACCAACATGTGGCTCCTTGGGCCTGCCTTTGTCTTGGTAAACTGCAGCCACCACCATACCAAACCCCTTACATGGTAGCCTCCACCTTGGGACAATGGACAGGGTCCAGAGGCAGCAACCCACTGAAGCACTGCATGCCATAGTGCTACATCTCTTAACAGACCACTCGATGCCACCCTATGGCCCACCCTCATAGCCCCATCTCTGAAAGCAGTTGCCTCCATCTTGGGACACCTCCTCCATCATCTTGGGTTTTGCCGCTGCAAGTGCTGCCACCACTGCTATCTTTACTTGATGTTCCATTTTGGGACATCAGCTGGGGCCTGGAAGGTCAACATCAAGGTACCTAGAGGTTTCACACTGCTGCTACCACCAACCAGAGATGTGGCTGCTTCCATATAGGAATAACAGCCAGGACCTGGAAGACCATCACCAAGGTCCCTGCAGGCTTGGTTACACTAGAGGTATCCCTGCTAGGTATGCAAATAGCCACCAACTTGTTGCAGAAGCAGGAGAGCCTTGCACGGGGTCAGTAGGTAGGAAGACGGCGAGAGGGCATTTTGATCCCATCTCACCCACCCAACCAGCCTGGTGCCCACCAGTCTCCCAGGGCCAACTTGGGGGGCACTTGCTGGGACTCAACACCAGCCTGGTCCTCTACTCCCTCCCAATCCAACATCCACCAATCACCTGATCTCATCAGTTTGGCAATCACAGGGCCCTCTGGTTCCTCAAAACCCCCAGCCACCACCCCAGCCTAGTGCTTGTAGCTACATGGCTGGCCTGTAGATGTCAACACCTGGTCCTGATCTACCTGATACAGAACAGCTTTCCACGACAGGTATACGGGTCCCAGCACTCAGCCCCCAGAATCTCTGGAGAGAGAGGCTCCTGATTGGGAAGTTGAAAGGGTAAGGGCAGGATAGTTACAATTTAGAGACTAAATTAGAGACTAGGAACTTGTGGGGTCCACAAGCATTATAAGAGGCTAAGATCAGGCTCCTGCATTACACCAGTGGACCCCAAAGGAGATTCCTGAGGTGCAGTCTTCTAGTGGGACTGACAATTACTATACCCCACCGCCTCCAGGAGTTCTGCCTCCCACCTTAGTAACCTTCACCACCCTGAGGGTGGAGTTATCAGCAAACTCCAGAAAACCCCACCTATTGGATAAGAAGAAACACAGAGAAGATATTGAACTCCAACAGAAACAATGTTCAATTTTCCTTTGAGATTTTTTTCTTTTTTGGTTCCCTGCTCTCATATTCTCCACATTTTTGAAACCAAGTACTTTTCTTGTATCAGGTTACTAAGGACTGGGATGTTTGAACAGTATATTACAGTTTTTTTTGTATATGCTTTATTTTAATATTTATTTCTTTTTCTTTTCTTATTTTTTTACTCTATTTTCCTCTCACTTATCTGTTTCCCCAGAGTCTCTCTCTTTTCTCCTACTAACAGCCAACTTTGTTTGATTCCTTTCACTCTTCCTATGCTCTAATACCTCTATATTCTCACCTCCTACCTCATAAACATCACATCCTACACCTCCTCCCAGTTTTCTCTTTACCATTAGAAACTGAAGACCCTTTTGCAATTCTACTATTTGTATTGTAGATAATAATCGTATATATCATTTCTGTTCATTGCGACAAAACTGGAATCATCTAAATAGGAGCTGTTTGGTTTAAGGCTGCATATTGTTTGCATTGGGTGTTAATATTAATCTCCCTCTTAAAGGTGAGGTATTGGAAACCTGCAAGGACACTATAAGTTTATAGGATAGAAACTATAATACTTTGGATTCACAGTGCTAGAGGGAAGACACATGAACAACATGAAACAACAAGGGAAGAAAGTGCTCCAAACAAACCAAGATGCCATGATAATAGAATCCATTGACAGCACAGTAGAAGAAATGTCAGAAAAGGAGTTCAGAGTGTACACAGTTAAAATGATCTGCTAAGAGGAGCTGGGGTTGTGGCTCAGCAGTAGAGTGCTTACCTAGCATGTTCAAGGTCTTGGGTTCAATCCTCAGCACCATATAAAAGTAAACAAAGTAAACTATTGTGTCCATCTAAAAAATAAATATTAAAAATAAAATAAAATAAAATGATTGGCTAAGTAAAGAATGATTTAAGAGAGCAAATCAGCAACAATTATCACTTCAATAAAGAGATAAAAAAGTAAATGCAGGTAGCAAAAGATTACTTCAAGAAAGAGAGATTGTGGAGAAAAAAACCCAAAACCAGAAATCCTTGAAATGAAGGAAACAATAAACCAATTAAAAAACTCAATAAAAAGTATCACCAACAGACTAGAACCTTAGGCAAAAAAGACAAAATATATAATCTTGAAAATAAAGTTGACCACACAGTGAAGATAGTAAGAAACCTCCAAAAATTACAAGATAACATGAAAAGACCAAATTTAAGATTTATTGGGATACAGGAAGGCACAGAGATACAATCCAAGGGAATGTATAATCTTTTCAATGAAATAATATCAAAAAATTTCCCAAACCTGAAGAATGAATTGGCTTACAGGACACCAAGTATACAAAATTACAACAAATCCATACCAAGGCACATTATAATGAAAATGCCTAGCATGCAGAATAAGGATAGAATTTAAAAAGTCACAAGATAAAAGTTTCAGATTACACATAAGGGGAAACCAATTCAGATCTCAGCAGATTTCTCAACCCAGACCCTCAAAGTTAGGAGGTCTGGAACAACAAGCTCTTAAAGAAAATGGATGCCAACCAAGAATCTTATATCCAGCAAAATTAAGCCTCAGATTTGACTGTGAAATAAAAATCTCTGTGATAAACAAAAGCTAAAAGAATTTACAATGAGAAAGCCTGCACTATAAAACATTCTCAGCAAAATATTCCATGAGGAGAAAATGAATAACAACAATGAAAATCAGCAAAGGGAGGAACTACAGTAAAGAAAAAGCCAGTCAAAGGAGAAACTAAGTCAAGTTAAAAACCAAAAATAAATCCAAATGACCAGAAATACAAATCATATTTCAATAATAACCCTGAATGTTAATGGCCTAACTAAACTCATCAATACAGACATAGACTGGCAGATTGGATTTTTAAAAAAGACCCAACAATATGCTGTCTTTAAGAGATTGATCTAGGAAAAAGACATCCGCAGACTGAGGTAAAAGGATGGGAAAAAGCATATCACTCACATGGACTGTGTAAACAAGCAGGGGTTTCTACGCTCATATCAGATAAAGTGGACTTCAAAGAAGAATTAATACCAATACTCCTCGAATTATTCCATGAAATAGAAAAGGAGGGAACCTTCCAAACTCATTCTATGAGATTAGTATCACCCTGATACCAAAACCAGACAAAGATACATCAGGGGAAAAAAAAACTTCAGACCAATATCCTCAATGAACATAAATGCAAAAATTCTCAATAAAATTCTGGCAAATCCCATACAAAAATATTTAAAAGATGATCAAGTGGGTTTCATCCCAGGAATGCAAGGCTGGTTCAAAATACAGAAATCAATAAATGAAATCCATCACATCAATAGATTTAAAGATAGGCATCATATGTAGAAAAAACGTTTGACAAAATACAGCACCCTTTCATGTTCAAAACACTAGAAAAACTAGGGATAGTAGGAATATACCTTAATATTGTAAAAGCTACCTATGCCAAGCCCAAGGCCAACATCATTCTAAATGGAGAAAAATTGAAAGCATTCCTTCTAAAAACTGGAACAAGACAGGGATGCCCTTTTTCCATCATTTCTATTCAACATAGTCCTTGAAACTCTACCAGAACAATTAGATGAAAGAAAATAAAGGGATACGAATAGGAAAAGAAGAACTCAAACTATCACTATTTGCTGACAACATGATTCTAATTTCAAAGATCCAAAAAATTCCACAAGAACTTCTATAATTAATAAATGAATTCAGCAAAGTAGCAGGATATAAAATCAATACCCATAAATTAAATGCATTTTTATATATCAATGACAAATCCTCTGAAAGAGAAATTAGGAAAACTACCCCATTCACAATAGTCTCAAAAAGAATTCGGAACCAATCTAACAAAAGAAGCAAAATACCTCTACAATGAAAACTACAAAACACTAAAGAAAGAAACTGAAGAACACCTTAGAAGATGGAAAGATCCCCCATGTTCTTGGACAGGCAGAATTAACATTGTTAAAATGGCCATAGTACCAAAAACTTTCTACAGATTTAATGCAATTCTAATTAAAATCCCAATGACATTCCTCATAGAAATAGAAGAAGCAATCATGAAATTCATTTGGAAAAATAAGAGACCCAGAATAGCCAAAGCAATTGTTAGCAAGAAAAGCAAAGCAGGAGGTATCATAATACCAGAACTTAAACTACACTACAGAGCTATAGTAACAAAAATGGCATGTTATTGGCACAAAACAGACACATAGACCAGTGGTACAAAAGACAGAGAAAAAACCCACATAATTACAGTTATCTCATACTAGACAAAGGTGCCAAAAACATACATTGGAGAAAAGATAGCCTCTTCAACAAATAGTGCTAGGAAAACTGGAAATCCATATACAGTAAAATGAAATTAAACCCCTCTCTCTCACCATGTACAAAACTCAACTCAAAGTGGATCAAGGACCTAAGAATTAGACCAGAGACCCTGCACCTAACAGAAGAAAAAGTAGGCCCAAATCTTCATCATGTCAGATTAGGATCTGACTGACTTAACCATATTCCCAAAGCACAAGAAATAAAACCAAGAATCAATAAATAGAATGGATTCAAACTAAAAAGCTTCTTTGCAAAGGAAACAATCAATAATGTGACGAGGGAGGCTACAGAATGGGAGAAAAATCTTTACCACACACACATAAGATAGAGTACTCATCTCTAGGATATATAAAGAATTCAAAAAACTTATCAACAACTACAACAACAAAACCCCAATCGATAAATAAGCTAAGGAACTGAACAGATATGTCTCAGAAGATGTACAACTGATCAACAAGTATATTAAAAAATGTTCAACATCACTTATAATTAGAGAAATACAAATCAAAACTAAGATTTTATCTCATTCTAGTCAGAATGGCAATTATCAAGAATACAGGCAATAAGTGTTGGTTAGAATGTGGGGGAAAAGGTATACTCATACAATGCTGGTGGGACTGCAAATTGGTGCAACCACTATGGAAAGCAGTATGGAGATTCCTTAGAAAACTTGGATTGGAACCACCATTTGACCCAGCTATCCCACTCCTCAGTCTATATCCAAAGGACTTAAAATCAGCATACTATAGTGACATGGCCACATCAATGTTTATAGCAGCTCAATTCACAATAGCTAAACTGTGGAACCAACCTAGATGCTCTTCAACAGATTCATGGATAAAGAAACTGTGTATATATACACAATGGAATATTACTCAGTAATAAAAGAGAATAAAATTCTGGCATTTGCAGGTAAATGGATGGAGTTGGGGGATATGTTAAGTAAGCCAATCCTTCCCCCCAAATAAAAATCAAATGTTTTCTCTGATATGTGAATGCTGATCTGTAATGCGGAGGGCAAGGTAAGAATGGAGGAACTTTGGATTGAGCAGAGGGGAGTAAGGGGAGTAGAGGTGGCATGGGGGTTGGAAAGATGGTGGAATGAGATGGACATCATACCCTAGGTATATGAATATTTGCATGAATGGTGTGACTCCACGTCATGTACAACCAGAGAAATGAAAAGTTGTGCTCCATTTGTGTACAATGAATCAAAATACATTCTGATGTCATGTATAACTAATTAAAACAAAAATAAATAAAATAAATGTTAAATATAAAATTTTTCTTTTTAAAGTTTAAGACATATTATCCAGGGCTGGGGATGTGGCTCAAGCAGTAGCGCGCTCGCCTGGCATGCGTGTGGCCTGGGTTCGATCCTCAGCACCACATACAAACAAAAATGCTGTGTCCGCCGAAAACTAAAAAATAAATATTAAAATTCTCTCTCTCTCCTCTCTCTCTCTCTCTTTCTATCTATCTTTAAAAAAAGGACATATTATCCAGAAAAGCTGTTCATATGCTTTCAAAACATCAACTTACATCTCTCCTTGGAAACTAAGATTCCTCTCTGAGAACATATTACATAAATGAAATATTTTAACTATGGAGATGAAATTATAAATTTTTGTCAAAAAATTAAATACTGAAAAGAGAATGTGTAGTCATTTCTTTTGAAAACCTAAAGCTAACATAGACATCAACTTCATATAAGAAAGTACATTTTTATCACTTTTATTTTTATGTGGTGCTGAAGATTGAACCCAGTGCCTCACGCTTGTGAGGCAAGCACTCTACCATTGAGCTACAAACCCAGCCCTTGTTTGTATTTTTTTTAGAGACTGGGTCTTACTGTGTTGCTCAGGACCTTGCTAAGTTGCTGAGGCTAGCTTTTAACTTGCAATCCTCCTGCCTCAGCCTCCCGAGCTGCTGGGATTACAGGTGTGCACCACTGCACCTGGCTCATGCATTTTTCTTAAAGGCAATCTCCTTACCTATCTAGGCTCTCCAAATGAAATAAAAAGAAGAGAAAATGGAAAGCCAAAAATTATATACATTGCTCTATCTGTAACAGGGTAAAGCCACATACTAATTAAAGATGTTGAATAACTAGCTCACCATTCTTTTTCTACTATCAGAAGCCTGACTGGAACTGGGGGTGCATGTACATGGGAATAACTTGACAAGAGCCTATTTATTTTCTTTATTATTTCAATGAAGGATAGAATGGCGAGGAGGAGGAGGGAGGGAGGAGGAGGAGGAGGAGGAGGAGGAGGAGGAGGAGACAAGCAAGAAAAGAAATGGAGGAAGAAAGGACAAAAGAAAAGAAAAAGATTTCAATTTAGGAATTCAAACCTAGGCATTATGAAACCCTGAAAAGAAAATCAGTCTGTAATATGGATGGATACTATGCCTGCCTTCTTAAGGAATATATCCTTGAATAATAATTATAATAGCAGCTAACATTTATTGTAATTATTATTTATAAGGTTTTATACATAAGAACTTTATATATATTAATTACTCTAATGATCACATTAGTACCGTGATGTCTTTTCACAGAATTCCACAGAGATTAAGCATCCTGTATAAGATTACACAGCTAGGAGGTTCAGGATTTCTCAATATAGATATTCTGGCTTCAGAACACATGCTTTTAACAACTTCACTATACTGCTTATTTAACTAAACAGTATATTTTGAATGCTCAGAAATATAACCTATATGGTATGTATCACATTCTCAAGAATCTTAGCTACAAATGTACAAGTATCTCAGTGTTCATTCAATTCTAACTTCAAGATGGCAGGGAGACCTGTATAAACAGAAAAGGAGGCAGAAGCAATTGGAATCACATTTTCCAGACACTATACTCCCTAGAATACAGTGTTTCTGCAGATAATTCTCCATCTATTCAATCTAGAAAGGAGTATTTCTTTCCTGGATTAAGTACTATTGATATTTAATTTGATATTGATATTACAAACAAGTCCTATATATTCAGGAATATGATTGAATCTGGGCCCAGTTATTACCTTCCCTCCAGTTCCTGAAGGGTCTGAAATTTTTTCTGGTTTTATATCTTTCATGACACAAATAGCAGCCATAACTAGTTTAACACCAGATGGAGGATTCTTCATTGATTTCACAATTGTAACATCAGATGGCTAAACCAAAAGAAAACAAGACATCTTTAGAATAGTTTATTTTCAAATAAGGAGAGTTTTAAAAGTAATTTTAGGGAATAATGAAGTATACCCTTTCATTCAAAATTGTGATTTTTTATTTTGCTTTGTATGGTTATGAAATAATTACCAAAACAGTATTTATCACAGGTAAAGACTAATGTTCTCTAATGTTTGGGGGTTCATAGATTCTTATGAGGATGACAGCTCTGAACCTTGCAGAAAATGTATTTTTACCCATGTACAATCACATACCCGAGCCCCCATTATCTAAAACTCAGGTTAAGAACCCTGATTTAGACAAAGATTTATTTCTGTATTTGCCCATATACATTAGTTTTATTGACAAAATAATGAAATAGGTCCTACTTCTAAACTTAATTTCTAAAAAGGCATTTATTGTTATGACAGACACTAGAGATTCACTTATTTATTACCCATTCCCACACATAAATATCCTTCTGACATTTCTTGCAATGATACAAATGCTGGAAAATTAACATCTACATATCTTTCTTTCACATGCAACTAGAGCTCTGGGTGAGAATTATTTCCCACAATCAGATAACTTGAGTGAAACCAGAATTCAGACAATAAATGGGGAAAGTGATAGTGTGAAGTATCCATTTTCTTGGTATGGATCATAGTGGAGGCAATGTAGCTTGTAGAAAGGCTCTGTTGGCTACCTTTTCAGAGGAACAGTTAATCTAGTAAACAATATCAACAATTTGGCTTTGTGAGATATTTCTAGTGGCTTAATATAGGATCTATTTCTATAGCTCTTCCAACAATTCTGCAATCCATTTATAAAATTCCCTTTAAAAATCCTTATCTACTTGTACTAAATAGAGTCAACTCTGTTCCCTGCAACTGAATTCTAAATTATATAATATGGTATTGCATACAAGAAAGGGTACAAGCAACACGCTCATAAGCAAAGAGGAGCCTAGGATTAATGAACTGAACTGGTGGGGTTTGGAGGCATCAAGAATCCTGTATCAGAAGAGGGAGCAGATTATGCTTAGTGAAGCTAGCCAATCCCTAAAAAACAAATACCAAATGTCTTCTTTGATATAATGAGAGCAACTAAGAACAGAGCAGGGAGGAAGAGCAAGAAGAAAAGATTAACATTAAACAGATACATGAGGTGGGATGGAAAGGGAGAGAAAAGGGAAATTGCATGGTAATGGAGGGAGACCCTCATTGTTATACAAAATTACATATAAGAGGTTGTGAGGGGAATGGGAAAATAAACAAGGAGAGAAATGAATTACAGTGGATGGGGTAGAGAGAGAAGATGGGAGGGGAGGGAGGGGGGATAGTAGAGGATAGGAAAGGTAGCAGAATACAACAGTTACTAATAGGGCATTATGTAAAAATGTGGATGTGTAACCAATGTGATTCTGCAATCTGTATTTGGGGTAAAATTGGGAGTTCATAACCAACTTGAATCTAATGTATGAAATATGATATGTCAAGAGCTTTATAATGTTTTGAACAACCAATAAAAAAATAAATTAAAAAAAAAAAGAAGAAGAGGGAGTGCTAAAAGTTCATGGAACATAGTAATAAAACTGTTCCTTAAATTAATGGTCTTGGATGTCTAGAAAGGAGTGCCCATAAAAAACAAGGCTTTGGGGCTGGGGATGTGGCTCAAGTGGTAGCGCGCTTGCCTGGCATGTGCGGGGTGCTGGGTTTGATCCTCAGCACCACATACAAATAAAATAATTTTTTTGTCCACCGAAAACTAAAAAATAAATATTAAAAAAATTCTCTCTCTCTTTAAAAAACAAACAAACAAGGCTTTGTCAAACTGAGTGGTTGCTGTGATAAATCTCTAAGAAAGGAATGAAGAAAGACTATAGAGTGCACATGGCTTTAAAATGTACTAGAGAGCATAAAGAAAGAAAATAACCAACTCATTTTTAAATTCCTGGTTCATGACACAAAACAGTAGGAAGTTTCTATAAATACTCTAAGATAATCTCATTTTAAAACTACTAAAAAACCGATGTAACTTCAAGACATAGCTTAATCCTTTGAGATACTGAATTACCCATAGGCTGAGTTCAGTCTTTCAGGTCTATTACATAAAAGTTAGGGCACTGATTAGGAAAGAAGGTGCAAAAAAAAGGGGGGTGGTTGTCTGAATATCCTGAGCTCCCATGTTACACTGGGCTTCCCTAGTCAACAGATGCTCTGTCTCCTGTTCTCTCTGGTGAGGTTATTCTGGTCTTGCTTAAAGAGCCTGTCAAAACGCCTATATAACACATTGTGGTACAGACAGGTGCATCGGAAATAACTTTTGAGTTTTTCTGTGCATATATGTAGAGAAGACTAAAGAAATAACAACACAATCTTTTTCTTTTTTCTTTTTCGGTGTTAGAAATTGAATTCAGGACCTTGTGTAACCACTCTTTTTAACATGTACTTCCTGGTCCCTGTACAGAATCACATTTGCCTCTCAGAGACTGTTCATCCTATTCTCAATGGAATATCCTGATTGAAAATTAGAAATAATATATGAAAAGCAAACATATAACAATATATCAAAGAAATGTCAAGAGACAAGTTTCATTTGACTGAGCAAAAACAATACCACCTAAAGAAAGAGAACTATGTGTAACTAACCAAAGACCTGTATAGTTTCACTTTGTTGAGGAAACACAAAGTGACTAATTCAAATACTTGCTTTAAGTGTATCCAGTGCAGACAGAGCTGCTTCCAAGGCTGGAATTGCCTCAGCTAGATCACTTTCACACTCATTTTTTAGAGCTTGGGCTTCTTCAGCCTTTCCACTGGCTATCTCTTCATCTAATTTCACAAACTTTTTTTTTGCTTCCACTTCTGCAGATTCTATTTCAATTATCTAAAGAAAAAAAATAAAGACAATTCTGCAAGCATCCAATTGCTCTCTCAATCTAGAGGCAAAAGAATATGTAAAAAAATAAGTCATCCAACATATTATTTTGAAGGCTAGAAAGGTCTAGGGTAAAATGAGAAATGCAAATATATGTGAGCTATTTTGGAAATGGGCTTCACACCTCTTCAAAAACAAATTGGGCTGGGTTGTAGCTCAGTGGTAGAGCGCTTGCCTAGCATGTATGAGTCACTGAGTTTGATCCTCAACACCACATAAAAATAAATAAATGAAAATAAAGGTATTGTAAAACTCTACAATAATAATAATAATAAGTTTTTTAAAAAATGAACTCACACAGGACCCGGTGAGACAGAAAAGGGTTAAGTCCCTAGGATCTAGTGATAAAAGTGGGGGGAGAGGGCTTATCTTCATGACAAATTTAACATATTTCAATTGTCCTTTGAAGGCAATAAAAACATTCAGGATACTCTACCTGCATCATACGTGCATTTTCAATTTTAGCTTCCTCCAACTTGGGCTGTAACTGAACAAGCTCTATTTGCATTTCACCAACCTAAATAGACAGTTTGTCATTAAGTTTCCATTGCTATCATAGCTACTAAAATCAAACATAGAAAATACAAATTTGAACATATCATAAAGTATTGGGGCAGAAAATCTTAATGTTTTTACAGTTCTTTGTATGATAAACAAAATGATGAGAATGTAGCCAGTTTTTCTCACAAAAATATTTTCTTGGGCTGGGGTTGTGCCTCAACAGTAGCACACTTGCCTGGCATGTGTGAGGCACTGGGTTCGATTCTCAGCACTACATATAAATAAATAAAATAAAAGTCTATCAACAACTAAAAAAAATTTTTTCTCATTCTTGAGTATATGACAGGCTAGTGGGAGAATGCAGTTACCATGGAAGAAATGCAGACAGAAAACAAGTGGGTAGCTCAGGTATCCATATTATACCATTATTATGGTATACAGTGCAAAGATGAACCAACAAAAATCTCTATTACTTATACTAAACTAATAAGTATTACCAGCACTTGATTTTTAAAAAACCCAAATCTTATAATTAATAAAAAGTCAACACAGACTTTTTATATTTTCTCAAATGCCAAAAAGTTAACTAAAAATAAAACAGTGTGGTCTGGGCAATTTAATGAATGTTTCTTAATGTAACTCTATCTGTAAAATGACAATCATAATAGTGATGATCTTATGGAGTTGTTATGAGGAATAATTGAAAGAATGCACGTGAAAAGCATGCATATAACAAATTCCCAATCAATTGTAGCTCTTGTTATTATTTCTTGTATTTCTCAGTATATATTACCATTTTGAGCAGCTCATCAAATTTACCTGAGACTCAGCAAAAGCTAATTTGTCAAGACCATTTACATATCGTTGTTTTGCTTCCATGACAGCTTGTCGCTTCTTAGTCAAAAGCTGTCGAAATGAACCAATAAGTTCAAGATAAGAAGTAGCAGTAACATAGTTATGTCTTCCTAACTCATGCAAGAACCTAAAAGAGAGACAGGTAACATATATTCCTGTAAGTAATAAGTTTCATAAAGAGGTAAATTCAACAGAGCCTTAACAACAAACATTTAAGAATGAAAGTCAAATTTTATGTGGAAGTGCTAAGTACTTGAACTTTATAAGACTCCAGAATTCTGCACATAACCATATCCTAATTTCTTATCTGCAAAATATTAAATAGAATGACATATTTTAAAAACATAAACCAGTGAAGATGTCTGCAAAAAGTGAATTATTGTACAAACAATACAGACTTTTTTCCTCCCTAAAATTTTATTCACTGGGATCTAAACCTGTAAGTGACCTAAGATATTGTGAGAGGAAGGCAAGTAGAATTGGAAAGAGAAAATTTCCAACAAATTTCCAAGCATCATTCCATGGCACAAGTATGTTACACAATGCTTGAATGGTATAAATCCAAAATTATAAGACTACCACACAATGATATTTAATGGTAAGTAAATGAACTATAGCACACTACAGCCACTGTCTAAGCCAACTGTGCTGTCTATTTGATTCTGGACAGGCAATATAACATGGGTACTTAGGGTTACTCATCCTTGAGATGAGTACGTCAGATGAACAGAGTTAGAAAGGACATTCTAGAAGTATCTATACCCCAACTAGCCCCCTCTTTCTAAGAACTTCTACCTGGTGCCTGGGCAACAATGTTTGATCTACAAAATCTGCTACTCTAACCACAGCTGATCAGGCCAGGGTTGAGCACTGGACACAAACAAGACTAATCATTTATTTAGAATAAATTTGGAATAAGGAGCTAGAAATGACCTTCTAGTCTCTCTTTATAACTGTAACTGCAAGAAGTAAACTGGAGAGCTGAGAGGTAGCCAGCTTCTTCCAAATGTACTGGGAAGTACACCGGGCAGTCTACAAAAAGAGACAAGAAAGCAGATGCCCAGAGAGAAGCAGTGATGAGAAACAGGAAAACAGGGCTGGGGTTGTGGCTCAGTGGTAGAGTGCTCGCCTAGCATGTGCCAGACGCTGGGTTCGATCCTCAACCCACATTAAAAATAAATAAATAAAATAAAGGTATTGTGCCCAACTACAACTAAAAAAATTATTAAAAAAAAAGAAACAGGAAAACAAAACAACAACAAAAGAAAAAAATAAATAAAGTAGGTAAATAAAAGAAAAAGAAAAATGAAACATTCTAGGGTCCTGATTTTTTTTTTAAAGTTTTTTTTTTTAGTTATACATAGACACAATATCATTATTTTAATTTTTTATGTGGTGCTGAAGATCGAACCCAGTGCCTCATAAGTACTAGGAAAGCGCTCTGTTACTGAGTCACAACCCCAGCCCCCTCCCCACCCATGGCTTTCTAACACCTGCTTTTCCAATTACTTTTTTTTTGATACCAGGGATTTAACCCAGGGGCACTTAACCACTGAGCAACATCCCTAGCTCTTTTAATGTTTTATTTAGAGACAGGGTGTCCCTAAGTTGCTCAGGACCTTGCTAAATTGCTGAGGCTGGCTTTGAACTCATAATTCTTCTGCCTTAGCCTCCTGAGCCACTGGGATTACAGGCATGCACCACCGCACCAGGCTTTTCCAATTACTTCTAAGATCCAGCTGTATACTTCCCCTTAAGCTTTGTGAAACACCCCTGGATCTTTATAATAAAATTCCCCCTTTTATTAAAGCTAGACCAAGTAGTTTTCTATTATTTGCAGGCTGAAGGTTTTAACTAATTAAATGATCAGAAAGAACGAAAAGAAATAAAAAGTATATTAAAAATTTGGACTTTAGCAGAAAGAAATGCTTTAAACTATAAGGCATTCATGTCATTTTAAAATTTATTACTATTGACCTCTCCGAAAGGTCCATAATGGAGGTGTGAAAGTGTTTACAGACTGGAACTATCTCTCTTCGTTCGACTTCAGTAAGCTCCAGTGTTTCTAAGAATTTCACAGCTACAAGTTCGAGAGCATCTTCAGGCCATGGCTAAAAATGGGGGGGAAAGTTATGAAATTAAAGGTGAGCAGTCCCAATCCAACTATATAAGTGAATTCCTATAGAAAAAGAATTTGGGATAGAGAAAATTAAAGCCTTAATGAGAAAAATAGAATAAGGAGGACTGAGTTCACAATATTTATTAGGTTTATAAAAGATTTAATAAGTATTTTTATGAATTAATTTAAAAATAAAGATAACACAATATAAATGAAGAATCAATGATATTTTAAATATTAAAGACATATTACACTGCTTTTCCAACTCTTCTACTTGAATGCATGCCAGTGGCAGAAAATTCTAGTTGTCCACCCAGCATCATCTTCTTAGGACTCCAATTTTATTCTGGATAGCAATATGTCCAGCTAAAAGACAACCATTGCTAGATTCCCTTGTAATTCAGAAGAGCATAAGCAGTTGTTGGGTAGGACGTCAGAGAAAGGTCTTTAGAGGGTTACAGAGTTGGTCTGCATACTTTTTGTCCCATTTTTATTCTTCTATACTTGTTGTCTGGACTACAGTTATGAAAACTCGAGGTCTACCAATCATCTTACAGACTATAAATTGACCTTGAGAATGGAAATCACATGTTAAAGATAATAAAGCAGAAAGAACATGGGATAGTGATGCTTTATTTAAAAAGCCACAAAAACACCAACCACTTTGCTTACCTTCAGCTGTTTTGTTTTTGTTTTTTGGTGGTGGGAATCAAACACAGGGCTTTACACATGCTAAACATGTGCTAGCAAGGAGCGACATCCACAGCCCCCAGAGCATTCTTTTTAAAACAGCATTCCTTCTGTTATTACTCTGAACATTATAATCAGTTTTATTCTTAGTACTTACAAATACTTTGCATATCATTTATTCATCTGTTGTTGGTCTACCCCTCAGCCCTGAACTAAATTGTAAAATTCATGAAAGCAAGGACTTTTTCTCAGTGCTATACCTTCAGTCCCTAAAAGAACACTTTGCAACAAATATTTAATTAAATGTTAATGAGTAACTTTCATTTTCTCATTAGAATATTTTTCAGACTTCCTTTAATTTAGATTCAATAAAAGACTTGTAATTTTTTTCTTTTAGAAAAAACAATATTTACTTTAAGACTTTTTTTTTTTTTTTGCAGTGCTGGGGATTGAACCCAGGGCCTCAAGCATGAGGGAACATGTTCTGCTACTGAGCTACATCCTCAGTCCCAAATTCAAACTTTTTTTTTAAAGATTTTTTTAAAGATGGACACAATATCTTTATTTATTTTTATGTGGTGCTGAGGATCGAACCCAGTGCCTCACATGTACGAGGCAAGAGCTCTACCACTAAGCTATAACACCAGCTCCCCAAATTCAATCTTTTTGATGAAGCAACCTATTAGTAAAAAAGTTTTAAGCACATATTGCCATTATATACTTTGGGGAGGGGGTTGGGGGGACCAGGGATTGAACTCAGGGATACTCTGTCACTTAGCCACATCCCCAGCCCTAATTTGTACTTTATTTAGAGACAGGGTCACATTGAGTTCTTAGGACCTCACTTTTGCTGAGGCTGGCTTTGAACTCTTGATCCTCCTGACACAGCCTTCTAAGCCACTGGGGATTACAGGCATGCACCACCACACCCACCCGGCCCCATTATATAGATTTTTATTAATAGATTACATTCATGCAACATTATTGTTCTGATACATTTTTAAACCTAAAAGAGACTTCTAGGATTTATTATATTAGGAATGAAGAAATTTTGTAAAATAAAGATTAAATGTCATATCATTAAATTCTTAGAGGCTTATCTTTGTATTCTGGGTGATTCTTTTTTTTTTTTTTCCTGGTACTAAGGATGAATCCAGGGGCACTTAACCACTGAGCCACATCCCCCGCCCTTTTTAAATATTTTATTAGAGGTAGGGTCTCATTGAGTGACTTAGGGCCTCACTAAGTTGCTGAGGCTGGCTTTGACCTCGCAATCCTCCCCCCCAACCCTGTGACTGGGTGGTTCATGTATATAATGTCGCAGTAGGAAAAGGGCCTTCAGGTCTCTCAACCTTGTTTCTTAAGGGTGCGATCCCCATAGCTACAGCAATCATTTTGTCACAATAATAAATGAAACAGAGTGCACTGAGAATGGTAGAGCAAAAAGATGGAAAGAACCTGGATCCCAGATAACATGGTTGAGCCTGTAAATTAAGTAAAACTGGAGATACTTTTGACTTCTTTCTATATGAGATGATACATCCCTTTTTGGGAAGACATAGTAATATTATTAGTTTTCCTTTAATCATAAATATTCTAACTTCTGAGCTGGGGCTCAGTGGCAGAGTACTTTCCTAGCATATGAGAGGCACTGGGGTTTGTTCCTTAGCACCACATACAAAAAATAAACAAAGTAAAGGCATGCGGTCAATCTAAAACTAAAAAAAAAAAAAAAAAAAAATTATGGCTACAAATGGTATTAAACCAGCCATGGGGTGGGAGGGTACATGACACACAGCAGTTTACATTTACTTCCTGAGTTTCACAAACCCAAGTCCCAAATAATGCCATTAGCTCCATTGACACAGGCTCTTTCTCCTCAGTTCTTTTTTTTTTTTTTAGTTTTAAATATAGTGGTGAGAATCAGAATCGAACCCAGTGCCTCACACATGCTAGGCAAGCACTCTAACTCTGAACCACAATCCCAGCCCTCTCCCCAGTTCTTAACTGTAAAGTCTTTATTCCTCTCTGTTGCCTATTTAATTTCCCTTATTTTCAAGACTCATTTTCTTCAGATTTTTCCCAGTAGGTATGACTCACTTATAATAGAACTGGCAAATATCATGGTTATGAAAAAAAAAAACATCCAGAAGTTACAGAACTGTATTTATAAGGTTTTATAAAAGAAGACTATGGTTAGACAGATTATGTTTGTATGGTTTTGGATTTTGTCTACTTAATAGAAGCAATACTAAGATATAGCTTATATAAAGCAAAATTGTTTCACATAGCTTCTGTTACTGTATGAACACACTAGAACATCCACTGATAAAACATGCATGTAATCCTCAAAAGGTCAGAATTAGATTTTAAACATAAAATTCATGATAAATTAGTTCCAGAAATTAACTTTTAAAAGAAATTATCTAGGTTCAATGTATAGTCCACATTCTCTTGGGCATAAAACAAATAAGTAGAAGGTATCATGAGCTACTGTTTTCAAGACTATTGATATTTAGTGCTCCTACACAGGCGATGACAAATTAATACCATCATTTGCTGCCAACATTACTAAAATTGCTGCTTAATTGATCTTTCTGTCTCTTGTTTTGCCCAAATCCAATTCTTCTACCATACAACCTCCAAGTGTTTTGTTTCCCCTAAAATAAAGATTAGCTAAAAATATATTAATGCCATTATGACATCTTTGTTATAATTTCCTTTATAACCTGGCACCCATCCAAAACTCCAACTTAATTCCTGGGGCCTTCATTACTAGTCAGCTATACCAAACTAGGTGAAGTTGCCCAAATGAGCCATTTTTCCTCCATCCTTCTGCCTCTGCACATGCTATCCTCTCATGATTATTAGTTATATATATCAACTTGACAGGGCAATGAGGTATCCAGATATTTGTTTAAACATTATTCTAGGTGTTTCTGTCAGGATGTTTTCACATTAATTCATTTAAATTGGTAGACTAATAAAGCAGATTGTGCTCTCTAAGGTCAGTGAGCCCCATCCAATTAGCTGAAGGCTGGAATGGAACAAATATATTGAACTTCTCTCAAATAAGAGGAAATCCTCCTTTTTATCTAACTTCAATCTGGGATATTGGTTTTATTGCTGACTTCAGACTTGAAGTAAAAGAGTAGTTCTTTCTGGTCTTAAGCCTAATGGCCTTCAGAGTGGAAATACACAACTGACTCTTCTGGGACTCCAGTTTTGCAGATTGCAGATTTTGGGATTTGTCAGCCCTGTAATCACATGAGCCAATTTCTCAAATCAGTCAATCTCAATCTCTCTCTCTCTCTCTCTCTCTCTCTCTCTCTCTCTCCATATACATGTATATATACAAATATATTTATAATATTTATATTCTAAAATTATACATTGCCTAATATTAGAATATACATTATATAACATAATATTAGAACATATTATATATTATTAATATAGTAGAATACATATGAATTAATATACATGTAGATATGTATATGTACATATATGTATATATAAACCAATATATTAGAATAAAAACTAATTATGACCTTTTGAGGCAAAACATACACACATATATATTAACTTCAAAATGGAATTAGTTTTAAAATATAAAATTGATAATAAAGTTAAAAGTAATAAAACAAATTAATATCAGAAATTAATTTTTATTAATCATGTAATTATATATTTTATTAATCATTTGTATAATATCCTATTGGTTCCTAATATACCACTGTATGTAATTCATACTTCAGAGATTTACTGTCTTTATATGTATATCTTTTGTATCCAAACATTATGGCTTTTGAATTTTGACTGCTAATTGCTTTTCATATCTTCTAGTTAAGAATATGAGCTCCTTGTGGGAAACATGTACCTCTGCTAAGCACTATGCTTGTTATTATAGTAGTTTACCAAAAAAAACCAGAATATATATTAATTGAGCTTAAATAAGACTTAAGTAAAATTCCAAGAGTTAGCCATCCACTCTGTCACCAAAATTACAAACCTGAAACCAGTCAATGGTACAGCAATTGATGAGGGATGGGAACTGTCTCAAGCGATTTCGAAAAGCATCTCCAATAGGGCTAAAGGCCACTACAATATGAAGATTATCTTTGCAGCGATTCACAAAGAAAGCAAACAGTGCTAAAGGACTGAGTTCTTCATGTTTACTGCCAGCCTGAGCTACTGGACGAACACCCTAAAGAATATAAGAAAATAAAAACTTGTAAATAATAACAGATTTGCTGATAACAAGATTAATGTATATTAGAACAGGAAGAAGTTTTATTACTTCCAACAAATATTTTTAAATTTTTGCTTTTATGTCAACAGAATGGCTTTGGCATAATTAATACCTACAAAATCTCTTCCAACTCCAAATTCAATAATTTAAAACAAACATTTATGTTCAACATCTGTAGCAATTAGAGAAATACAAATTAAAACTCCACTGAGATTTTATTTCACTCCAACCAGAATGGCAATTATCAAGAATACAAGTAATAATAAATGTTGGTGAGAATGTGGGGAAAAGGGTACACTCATACTGAAAATTAGTACAACCACTCTGGAAAGCAGTATGGAGATTCCTTAAAAAAATAGGAATGGGGGAGTTGGTGCTGTGGCTCACACTTGCCTAGCGTGTGTGAGACACTGGGTTTGATCCTTAGCACCACATATAAATAAATAAAAATAAAGGTACATCAACAACTAAAAAAAAATCTAGGAATGGAACCACCATTAGACCTAGTTATCCCATTCATTGGTGTGTGTGTATATATATATATATATATATATATATATATATATATATATATATATATATATATAAAAAAGAGAATACTACAGTGACACAGCCACATCAGTGTTTATAGCAGCACAATTCACAATAGCTAAGCTATGGAACCAACCTAGGTGCCCTTCAACAGATGAATGAATAAAGAAATTGTGGTATACACACACAATGAAGTATTTACTCAGTCATAAAGAATGACTTTATGACATTGCTGGTAAATGGATGAATTTGGAGACTATCATGCTAAGTGAAATAAGCCAATCCCCAAAAGCCAAAGGTTAAATGTCTTCTCTGATATGTGACTGCTAATCCACAATAATGAGTTGGGGAGGGGAATAACAGAAGCTCATTGGATTAACATAGGTCAGTGAAGGGGAAAGGGAGCAGGGATAGGAATAGGAAAGAGTAGAAAATCTGACATAACTTTCCTATGTACATATACGAATACACCACAGTGAAACCATCATGTACAACCACAATACTTGGATCCTAATTAGAATATGATATATTCCATTCTTGTATAAATATATCAATATAGAGTCTAATATCACATATAACTAAAAATATTAATAAAAATAAAAACAAATATTTGCCAAGAATTTACTTCAAAAGAGGATCTCAAAAATTCACCAAGCTATAGATTAAGAACTATAATTCAACATTGTAAGAGGAAAAGAAAACCAACAGAAACAAGAAGAGTCAATAAGAAACTAGTTAAAAACATCAAACATCCATATATTGGAATTTCATACAATTTTAAAAATAAGGTGTATGCCATTTCTGGTGGGATGGAAAATTGGTGCAATCACTATGGAAAGCAGTATGGAGATTCCTTAGAAAACTTAGAATGGAACTACCATTCGACCAAGATATCCCACTCCTCCATCAATACCCAAAGGTCAATACCAAATCAGCATACTACAGTGATGCAGCCATATTCATGTTTATAGCAGCTCAATTCACAATAGCTAAACTGTGGAACCAACCTAGATGCCCTTCAATGGATGCATGGATAAAGAAACTGTGGTATATATACACAATGTAATGTTACTCTGCATTAGAAAAGAATAAAATTATGGCATTTGCAGGTAAATGGATGGAGTTGGAGAATATCATGCTAAGTGAAGTAAGCCAATCCCAAGAAACCAAAAGCCAAATATTTTCTTGGATAAGTGGATGCTGGTCCATAATTGGGGGGTGGTGGTGCATAGAAAGAATGGAGGAATTTTGTGTTAAATTAGAAAAAACACACAGATATAAGCCATGCATGGTAGTGTGTACTGGTAGTTGCAGCCACTTGAGATGTCCAGGAAGGAGGAACACTTGAGCACCAGAGTTTGAACCCAGCCTAGTCAACAAAAGAAACAAAAATACAAAACAAATATTATATATATATATATATATTTAAAATGCGAATATATGAGAAAGAGTGAAGGAATGGAAAGGTTTAGTTTTGAACTGATAGAAGGAAAAGACAAAACTATTAAAGTAACCAGGGGAGCTTGGCAAAGCTTAGGAAATCCCACTCTTCCAAGGTAACAACCTTTTGAGTGTAAATAAGAAGGAATTTCTCCTGTGAGAATTACCCTTCATTGGCAACCTTCTCCACATTCCTGATATCGCCCAGGTAAAAGCAAATAACTTGAATTTTTCCCTGTTATATTTTCTTCTTCTTCAACATAAGCAAGCCATAACTGCGAAGGCTTTCTAAGTGCCTAACACTATATAAATGTTTCATTTTCTTTGAGTCTCAGACTTCAACAACTCTATGCACAAGGAACTATTAGCTGTGCTCCTATTACAAAGAAGGGTGAGTTCATTCCACTCCAGATACTATTACTAGAGGCTGAGAATGAAACATCCAAGCTTGAGTGATAAATTCTGTAGATAAGAGCAGTTATACTAATGAGGAAGGGAAAAATCACTAGCAGAGATCTTAGTGGGAAAGATTGGGATCAAAGTATGTGACATCTGACAGTAGTAGATGCTTCGTAAGTGTATTTTTCATCAATTAGATCATAAACCTGACTTTCAGATATATCAGAACTATAAGATAAGTAGTTTAAGTCTTCAGAAACTTTTACTAACCAGAGTTAAGCCATAAAGCTAATAGAATAGCATTAAAATCATGTTTACTTCTATCAATTTAAGAGATGATTTTAAACTCTCTAATCATTTATAACACATGCTAAAATAATATCAAACAGGTAAAAAAAATTCCATTATTATGAAGATAAGAATTATAAAAATTCTACCTTGTAACCATGGTAGATGCATTCAAAATTCACCAAAATGATGTATTAAATTAATATACTTTAAATTTTTAATTGAGCAAACTATATTTATGCTGAATAACAGAGGGAAGGTTTCAAGATGAGAAAACTGCTATTGTAAGAGCAGCACTTCCCCAAAAGTTTTTACCTCCATTACTTCTTGTTTTTCATCTGCAGCAAAGATGTTAGGTATTTCTCCAGTATTGAGCATGCTGTCAATATCTTCTAGAAAAGCTTCCTCTTTAATCTGAGTGTCTGTAATTAGAAAGACTGTCTTCTGGCCTCTCATGCCCACATTTTTCAACAGACCCTTAAAAGTAAAATGCCTTTATTAGTAGAATGTGATAGACTTATGTTGGTTTTCTTTCCCTCCCTTTCTCCTTCTTTTGATAACACTTTTAAGGACACTAAGTCTCCCGACTTCTGGTGGGGCTATCAATCAAGTCTCCATTTCTCTCATTCCCTAGGTGGGTTATCCAAACTAGTCAGTTTCCCCAATCCCCTAGGCATAGACATTGATTCAGAAGAAGGCACATTATTTAAGCAGAACCCTGTCATAGTGTTGCTTCGGGGCCTGAGATGGAGTTGAAACAAAAAGAATCTTGTTTTGAGATGGAGGATACAAAGGCCAATAATTCATGAAGCCAACTGTACTTGCCTCATGGATTAAGCCTGCTGGAGAAGGAAGACAAAAGAATAAGAGCTGTACTAGAAAAGAATAATTACTGAAGACATAATTGGAGGCCCTAAATTCAGCCATATCAAAAGACAATCTACCTACAGACACTTGAATCCTGTAAGTTATTAACTTCTTCTTTAGCTTAAACTACTACTATGAACTATTTTTGTTTGGTTATCAACTGCAACCAAAATTTCCAACTGATAAAAAGATATGGACTCAGTAGTGTGCTGGAACTGATTGTATAGTCTTGTTAGACTGTTAAAACTTCAGGAACTTCTGAGCAGTTTATTAATTATGGTCAGGATTAAAAATTAAATTATGTCCTGGGTGCAGTGGCGCATGCTTGTATCCCAGTGGCTCTGGAAGCTGACACAGGAGGATTGCTAGTTCAAAGCCAGCCTCAGCAAAAGTGAAGTGCTAAGCAACTTAGTGAGACCCTATCTCTAAATAAAATACAAAATAGAGCTAGGGATGTGGCTCGGTGGTTGAGTGCCCCTGAGTTCAATCCCTAGTACCCGCTCCCCCAAGAATTCAATATTTTCTAATTGTATAAAACTGTCTTTTCCTAGTAAAGCTATTTTCTAATATGTAGGCTGATTTGTTCCTGGAAATAATTTTCTATCATCAAAACCAGAGTAGCTAATAGTTTTTAAAGAAGTATTATATCAAATCATATCAGTTTTATACTTATTAATATATCTAAACAAATAGAAAATACAATATAATTAGTTTTAACTTATTGCCATGATCATCACTGTATGTAAAATTAGTATTCAAACATGTGTGAAACTATCTCCAAATAAAAAGAGGATTAACATTTTCAAAGTAGTAATTATATGCCAGGCATATTATAAGAATACTTTGTACAATTTAACCACAGTAATCTATAGAACAGATTGTATTATTCAAATTTTACAAATGAAAAATATAGCAAGTGGCAGCAGCAAGAGAACAGGCTAGGAAGCTTCAGATCCTCTTAGGAGTCTCTCCAAGCTGATATCCTACCTATGGTGTTATTCCTATCAGAATTCCAAGCCAGGTGAGACAGCCCTAGGACAAATCAGAATACTGAACTCAAGTGATATATGGAGGCAGGATTTGGGAATTATTCTCCCATTCTCACCACACCACAGAAAACAGGCATGTGCCTTAGTGGGTGACAGCAGCAAAGGGAGCGAGAGATCAAAATCAAAGGTATAAAACAAAAAACAAAAGGGCCTGAGAATAGGAAATTAAGACAGTCAAAAAACTCTTCCATACACTAGAATAAAAGCACATGCATGGTACTGGCACCAAAATAGACATGTAGACCAATGGCACAGAATAGTAGACGTAGAGACAAATCCACACAAATACAGTTATCTCATATTAGACAAAGGTGCTAAAAACATTCACTGGAGAAAAGACAGCCTATTCAACAAACAGTGCTGGAAAAATGAAATTAAACCTCTATCTCTCACCTTGCACAAAAATCAACTTACAGAGGATCAAAGACTTAGGCACTAGAACAGAGACACTGCACCTACAGAAGAATAAGTAGGCACAAATCTTCACCATGTCGGCCTAGGAAGTGACTTCCTTAACAAGACCCCTAAAGTGCAAGAAGTAAAATCAAAAATCAATAAATAAGATGGATTCAAATTTAAAAGCTTCTTCTCAGCAAAGGAAACAATCAGTAATGTGAGGAGAGAGCCTCCAATAAAGCATTAATCTCTAGGATATATAAAGAACTCAAAAAACTTAACACCAAAAACCAATTAACCCAATCAATAAATGGGCTAAGGAACTGAACAGACACTTCACAGAAGAAGAAATACAACTGATGAACAAATATATGAAAAAGTATTCAACATCTCTAGCAAGTAGATAAATGCAAATCAAAACTACACTAAGATTTCATCTCACTCCTGTCAGAATGGCAATCATTAAGCCTACAGGCAACAATAAATGTTGGCAAGGATGTTGGGGAAAAAGGCACACTCACACATTGCTGGTTGGACTGAAAACTGGTGCAACCACTATAGAAAGCAATATGGAGATTCCTCAGAAAACTTGGAACGGATTCACCATTTGACCCAGTTATCCCACTCCGAGGTCTATACCCAAAGGACTTAAAATCAGCATACTACAGTGATGCAACCACATCAATGTTTATAGCAGCTCAATTCACAATAGTTAAACTATGTAACCAACATAGGTGTCCTTCAATAGATGAATGGATAAAGAAAATGTGGTATATACAGTCAGTGGAATATTACTCAGCTATAAAGAAGAATGAAATTATGGTATTTGCCGGTAAATGGATGGAGCTGGAGAATATTATGCTAAGTGAAATAAGCCAATCCCCCTAAACCAAAGACTGAATGTTTTCTCTAATATGTGGATGCTAGTTCACAATAAGTGTTGGGGGGCACTAGAGAAGAATAGAGTTAGATTAGGTAGAGGAAAGTAAAGGGAGTGGAAGGGAGGTAATGTGGGGATAGGAAGAATAGTAGAGTGAAACAGACATTATTACATTATGTATACATATAACTGCATGACCAATGTGATTCTACATCATGTACACTCAGAAAAAGGAGAAATTATATCCTATCTATGTATATCAAAGTGCATAAATACATTCTACTGTCATATATAACTAATTAAAAAATTAAAAACTAAAAAAGAAAATTTAAAAAGCACATGTGTGCCCGCATACAAACACACACAACCCCCAAAAAGATACATGCTAAGAAAAAGTCTGAAAGGTCTTAGGCTAGAGATCCAGGTTGGTTGGTAAAGGTCTTCCCTGGCCTATAGTCAGTCATAAAGACTTGGAGAAGTAGCTTGTGTTTTCAAATGCCCATATAGCAATAGAAGATCCAAAGGATGCAAAGACACAGGGACACGTGGCCTGCAAAGAAATAAAATAAACTTCAGAAACCAACCCTAAGGAAATACAGATCTATAAAATACCTAATAAAGAATTTAAAATAACTACTTCAATGAACTAAAAAGGAATACTGTCAACTAAACTAAACCAGAAAAACAAAATGATAATATCCACAAAGAGATACAAACTAAAAAATCTAATCAAATAAAAATTATGGATCTGAAAATGTACAATAACTGAACTGAAAAATTCCTTAGGGGGAGGTTCAACATTAAACTTACAGAATAAAGAGTCAGCTAACTTGAAAACAAGTTATCAGCTGGACCACCATATATATTATGGGAACCCCAGAAGGACACAGGGAGAGAAAGGGGCTGAGAGTTAATGTGAAGAAATAATGGCCCCAGACTTTCAAAATCTGAGGAAAGAAAGGGATATACAAAGTCAAGAAACTCAATGAATAGTAATTAGGATAAGTTAAAAGGGACTACACTGAGAAACATTATAATCAGACTTTCAAAAGTCAAAGACAAAGAGAAGGTATTGAGAGTAGTAAGAACCTGCAACTTATCATGTATAAAAGAGTTTCCCCAAGATTATCAGTGAATTTTTCAGCAGAAACCTATATAGTAGAAGGAAGTGGGGTGATATATTCGAAGTGCTACAAGAAGAAATGTGTCAACCAATACTATATCTGGTAAACTTATCTTTCAGAAATGAAGGAGAAATTAAGGCCTTTCCAAATAAATAAGTTCATTGCCACTAGATCTGCCCCAAACAAATACTAAAGGGAGTCCTTCAAGTTGAAGTTAAAGGACCTAGACAGCAACATAAAGCCATACAAAAGTATCAATTTTCTAGTAACAGTAAACAGAGAATCCTCATTATTGTAATTTTGGTGCACAAATCTAGTTTTAATTCCAAAAGGAAAAAAGCATAAAAACACAAAAAACTTATAAATGTATGTTAATGGGCACACAATTTATGAAGATATACTCTGTGACATCAATAACAAAGTGTAAAAGTGTAGATCTGAGTAAAATTTTTCTATGCAGTTGAATTTATCAGTTTTAAATAGATTGTTAGAACTTTTAAGTTTTTTCATATAATAATAATGGTTACTAAAAGGAAAATACCGTTCTTTTTATATCCTGAAGATTAATACTTTATCTGAGATGCAGGTGGGAAAGATTTTTCTCCCATTCTGTATACTCTCTGTTCATGTTCTTGATTGTTTCCTTTGCTGTGAAGAAGCTTTTTATTTGATGCCATCCCATTTATTCATTCTTGATTTTACTTCTTGTGCTTTAGGAGTTTTATTGATGAAGTCTGTTCCTGAGCTGATATGATTGAGAGTTGGGCCTGCTTTTTCTTCTAGTATGCACAGGGTTTCTGGTCTAACACCAAGGTCCTTGATCCACTTTGAGTTTTGTGCAGGGTGAGATACAGGGTTTCAATTTCAATCTAGCACATATGGATTTCCAGTTTTCCCAGCACCATTTGTTGAAGAGGCTATCTTTTCTCCAATGTATGTTTTTGGCGCCTTTGTCTAGTATGGGACACCTGTATTTATGTGGGTATGTCTCTTAGTCTTCTGTTCCACTGGTCTTCAATTCTATTTTTGTGCCAACACTATGATTATGTAGTATAATTTAAAGTCTGGTATTGTGATGCCTCCTGCATTACTTTTCTCACTAAGGATTGTTTTGGCTATTCTGGCCTCTTTTATGAGTGCTTTTTTCTATTTCTATGAAGAACGTCACTAAAATTTTAATGGAAATTGCATTAAATCTGTATAGCATTTTTAGTTGTATGGCCATTTTGACTTTTTAAATATTTATTTTTTATTTGTAGCTGGACACAATACCTTTATTTATTTATTTATTTTATGTGGTGCTGAGGATTGAACCCAGGGCCTCACATGTGCTAGGCAAGTACTCTACCGCTGAGCCACAACCCCAGCCCCATTTTGACAATATTAATTCTGCCTATCCAAGAACATAGGAGGTCGTATCTTTTCTAAGGTCTTCTTCAATTACTTTCTTTAGTATTTTGTAGTTTTCATTGTAGAGGTCGGTCTTCCACTTCTTTTGTTAGATTGATTCCTAGTTAGTCAGAATTTTCACTGCTGTGATTAAAAGATCCAACCAGCACAACTATAGAGAAGCAAAGGTTTATTTGGGGGCTCATGGTTTCAGAGGTCTAAGTCCATGGACAGCTGACTCTATTCCTCAGGGCTCAAGGTGAGGCAGGACATAATGGCGGAAAAGTGTGGGAGAGGGAAGCAGATTAAATGGTGACCGGGAAGCAGAGGAAGTTTATAACACCTCAATTCACAATAGCAAAGCTAGGGATCCAACCTAGATGCCCTTCAACAGAAGAATGGATATAGAAACTTTGCATATATATATATATATATATATATATACACACACACACACACACACACACACACACAATGAAATATTACTCAGCTATAAAAAAGAATGAAATTATGACATTTGCCAGTAAATGAATGGAACTGGAGACTATCATGATAAGTGAAATAAGCCAGTCCCCAAAAACCAAAGGTTGAATGTTCTCTCTGATATGTGGATGCTAACCCATAACAAGGGAGGGTAAGATGGGGAAATATAGAAATTCATTGGATTAGATAAAGGGGAATGAAGGGAAGAGACGGGAGAGGAGGTGGTAATAGGAAAGACAATAGAATGTACCAGACATCACTTTCCTATGCTCATATATGAACACAAGACCAGTGTAACTCCACATCAAGTTCAACCACAAGAATGGGAACAAAATTGTAATGGGTTGCATCCCATGTATGTATGTCAAAATATACCCTGTCATGTAAAAACAACTAATAAAAAAAAGGAAAATACATACCCAGAAATAAAGAGGTCACTATAACCAATGCCATAAAATAAAAAAGATTACAGGAGAATTCTATAAACAACTGAGTACCAACAAATTGAGTAACCCAGAATAGGATAAGTTCATAGAAACTCCATTACAACACAGATTTTGACATATTCTTGACAAATATTCCAAAACATATCTACCAAAAAACCCCAAACTTATTATATATCACAATATACATGTAAATATACTTACCATTCTATCCCATGTTTATAACAATCATATTATACTATATATATGAACAATTAAATTTATTTAAAAAATTAAAATATGCAAAGACAACACAGCTAACAAATCATGCAAAGCAGAAGTTAAAATTGAGTATATCTGACTTCAAGGTTCAATGTTTTTGCTACTTTGAAGGAATCAATACATAAGTATTATGCTTTCTAAGTCTATTAGTTTATTAGGCAGTGAACATATAAAAATTTTTCCTTTAAAGCATGAACAAAAACAAAGAGTAAATGATATAAATATATCCTTTTTCCTTTCACGTCTATGTGGAACTCTTTGATATCTCCTTCAGTTCTACCATTTCTACCTGCTACTAGCCAAGAAAAAGTAATTCTCTATGTTAATGTTCTTTAAATATTTATTTTTTTAGTTGTAGTTGGACACAATACCTTTATTCCAAGCATTCATTTTTATGTGGTGCTAAGGATCGAATCCAGAGCCCCACATGTGCTAGGTGAGCACTCTACTGCAAAGTCACAACCCCAGCCCTCTCTATGTTAATTTTTAATATGTAAAGATTTAATGGGGTTGTGGCTCAGGGGTAGAGTTCTTGCCTAGCATATGTGAGGCACTGGATTTGATTCTCAGCCCCATATATAAATAAATGAATAAAATAAAGGTCTATTAACAACTAACAATATTTAAAAACTATATAATGGGTATGGTCCAGTGAAAGTGAAAGAAGTCCACAACATCTCCTTTCTCCTTCTCCTTCTCCTTCTCCTTCTCTCTCTCTCTCTCTCTCTCTCTTTCTCTCTCTTTTCTTTTTTGGCCATTTTTGGGTCATCTCTGTACTGAAGTCTCTATAGAAGACTGTAGATCCCTATGTAAATTAAGGATAAAACTCCAAATATGCACTGCACTATTCTCTTGGTTGCTAGGACAGCAACACAGCTCTAAAGAAATTACTAATACATCATTATCATCATCATTATTGATATACCTAGCCTAATTCTCTCTGTAGATTGTCACAAGTTATGAAGGATTCATTTCTGTTTTCTGTAAAAATATTAGGATGTCTGTATAGCCTGGCCATAAGTTAATGTTGTAAAGCTGCCCATGCCTTTAACTCACCCATGCCCGGTTTTCCCTGACCAGATAACAACCCTTTCCTAAACCTTAGTTTCACCTCATAAATCCTGGCCTTCCCTGGCTAGATAACGACCCTCTCTGAGGCTCTAACGACTTCCATAAATTCTGATGTCGGGGCCAGCAAAAATGTAAACCAGCATTTGTGTTATGCTCGTCAGAGTTTTGTTATCTGTAACCCCCCCTTTGTGTAACTTTTTGGGCTATAAAGCTGGGCTGCAAGAAAGCTGCAGGGCTGTCCTTGGCTCCCACGATTTTGTTGGGAAAGGCAGCCCAGCAGGTTGAAATAATAAGCTTGCTTAAATTTGATTTTAATTGGAGTCAGTGGTCTTTTCTTGCATCATGGTCTAACAATTACGAGTTTTTTTGGTTTTTTTTGAAGAGCTAGAAATTGAACCCAAACCATCACACATGCTAGCAATGCACTCCACCACTGAGCTAAACCCCTAGCCCATACTGCTCATGTTGTCTACTGGAAGTCACATATTTATCTAAAATAAATCCTCCCAGAACTAGAATAAAGATAGTATCAGCAGCAACAGTTGTAATAGTATAGTGAATAAGACTTGAATCAGAAAGCCATGCTCTACTGTGCATCACTTCCCTCTGTTTCAGTGTGCTCATACTGTTGTGCCTATAAAATAAGATCATATGGTAAAACGCTCAGGACAGTGTTCAGCACACATAGTAGGTGATCAATGGACAGTATTATCATCATCCGTGTATTCAGTATACATCTACACAGGATATTTCTTTCTATATGGGTAAAAGTACACATTATTATCATTTTAGATGCTAGATTTCTTCATAATTTTACCTTTAAATCATCTCTCCACTCATTCATACTATAGCTCTTAGAAATTTCTGGTTGGAAAATCTGCATTTTTGCCATGGATGTAGCCAGACGAGTTAAAGACTGACGACCACTTCCTCCAAGCCCAACAAGCAAAGCATTTCCACCAGACTGCTTTAGATTTCGACATATTCTTGACAAATGTTCCAAAACATATCTAAGAAAAAACCCCACACTAATTATATATCACAATAAATAGGTAAATATATTTACCATTTTATTTCATGTTTATAACAATTATATTATACTGTATATATGCACAAGTAAATTTATTTTTAAAATATGCAAAATAAGACTTTGCATATATGTGTAAGAAAATATACAGGTGTAGTGAAAGTCCAAAGAAACACATGAGTTACTATTACTATAGGTTATGATGGGAGACACAGTGAAGAAGGGTAGACTACAGCAGGGGACTTCAAATAAATTTTTCATATTATATATGTATAATGTGTATTTAATATCTTTTTCTTTATATCTTTTTGTACATTTTAAATATTTCAAAATAAAATTTTACAAATAGCAATTTAAGCATTAATATCAAATGTAGGTACCTAAACACAACAAGATTCATTCTCGTTTTGTGAGTTTGATTATACTCATCTAAGCATTGGTCTACAATGTCACTAAAATGGTGAATATTTGGAATTTCAATATAAACTCTATCATCTCCTTCAAGGTCGGGATTCATATAATCACCAAACATGAGATTTCTTAAGTCTTCTTCAGTCACCTATAGAATGGAAATGAACAGATTACAAAACTTAAAAATTTTTCTAAAATATATTTAAGGAAATGACACAAAACTTAGTTTTATGTATGTTATGGAATGATTATAAATTCAATAATTGTTTTAAACATTATGTAGGGAATCATATACTTGTAAAATTAATGCCTAAAACTATATTCCTAGTAAATAATAAGTTTTTTTCTAGTCTGGAGGATCATCTTGGGTGACTCCCAATTATTATTTACTAAGGGATGGTACTATGTTACATATTTTATTATATCATTTAACTACTATCATACAAGGTTTTATCCTTTAAATAACTTCTGTTATATTCATTTCTCTGAAGATTAACTTCTTCAAAATAAACACCTATTCATAAGAAAAGCTGCAAGAATATGATCATTAAAAAGCAACATTTTGCTGGGTGGGTATGGTGGCACACAACAGTGACTTGGGAGGCTAAGGCAGGAAGATCGAAACTCTAAAGCCAGCCTTGGAAATTTAGTGAGATTCTGTTTAAAAATAAAAAATAAAGTCCAGGTATGGTGGTGCACACCTGTAATCCCAGCAGCTCAGGAGCCTAAAGCAGGAAGATTACGAGTTCAAAGCTAGCCTCAGCAACTTAATGAGGCCCTAAACAACTTAATGAGGCCCTAAGCAACTCAATGAGACCCTGTCTCAAAATAGAAATATAAAAAAGGGTCTGGGAATGTGGCTTAGTGGTTAAGCACCCCTGGGTTGAATCTGGAGTGCCAAAATAAAATATAAATAAATAAAATTTTTAAAAAGGGTAGGAGATGTAGCTCACTGGTCGAGTTGCCCCTGGGTTCAAATACTGCAAAAAAAGCAATATTTTTTAAAAATAAATTAATTGATTAATACAGTTCATGCAAATGTATTGCTTTAACTTGACATATTTTTTAATCACTACATATACTCACTGGTGCATTCTCTTTCCTCAAATGTAAAAAAACACCATCAAATGATTCTTTAAAATTGTCCTTTATAACAATTTTGATTAATTTGAACAACCAGTTTCTATCATCATCATTAATGAGGCGATCATAAAACACTCGGAGAACCTCATGCACAAACAGGCGGATCATAGTGTGCTTGCTCTCTACAGCATCTCTTTGAATGAGTAAACAGCCCCGGATGACACGTGAAAAATCACGCAAGTTGAAAGTATAATGAGATTTTGCAGGAGTGGGCAAAAGATTTTCCATGGATCGTTTATATATCTGTATGCAAAAAAAACACAACAAAGCAAAAATGAAAGGCTTATAATCAGTGAAAGTATAATGAATAATACAAGAAATATTTTATTTATCCTATCAGATTATATCATCCTGGAAAATTGTGTAGTACTAAGCCTAGCATAGCATGTTTCTTTTTTTCTATAGCTCTCAACCAGGCTTTATGAAGTTAAAGGAACTTCTGATACTAAGTCTACTTATATTTCCCAATTATTACAGTTGTGTCATTTAAAGATGAGTGACTGGGGTTAAATAGTTAAAAATTTAGTAGGAAGTGAAATTAGGTAATTCATTCTGAAACATTCCAAATAAAGAGGATTAAATAATTTCCCATTGACTGATTCTTTCTCTTCCCTTCCCTTCTTTTACTGTTTGTCCTTCTATTCTTTCCTCTATTTTTACTGGTAGATTATGGAAAAGAAGTATATATTTGCTATCAATATTCTGTTAAGAAAGGTGATTTAAATCTTCTATAATATAGAAAGTCAAAGAAAAATATTTAAATTTGTATGCATTCTTTGGTTCATCCCCTTGTCCCAATTTCCACACATTGGTTGGTCTATAATGCTTCAAAGAGAGGAGAGGAAAAAAAGAAAGGAATCCTTTTTGTGTCTGACCTCCTTACCTTTCCAATAGAGGCCTGAAATATAAATATTATATTTTATAAATAGAAGCACTTTTCTTTATCAAAATAAATGTATTATTTGTGTAGTACTGTTACATGATATTATTCTGTTTCAAAATAAATACCCCTTTGCTCATAGCTTCTCTACTTTAGCAGCATAAATTTTCCACTGAAACAAAGAGAAAATAACCTTAAAAAGATACAGTATTCTCAGAAACTGATAGAATAAAGCTAGGGAATTTTTTGCCTCCTGTTGCAGTCATCCCAAAATGAACTCCACTTTATCAAGCTTCCAGAAAGCTTAGTTTGATGAGATTGCCACTGATTGCTTTAAATACTTTTTTCTTTTTACCATTAAATATGAGGCTGGCTTTGGCCTCTGTGCAGGGAGCTGTTCTTTGATCATATAGGAAGTCTTGTTTTCTACTCCCATGCTTTTATTTATCTATTATCTTTTCACTACTACTTCTAAGTTATGTATTATAAACTTCTTCCTTCCTTTCTTCCTTCCTTCCTTCCTTCCAAGACAAGCATGAAGAACAAGAGGGAAGACAGGAGAAAATTAACAAATACCACAGTAGAAACCTAACAACTGGGAAAATACCTATGATATGGCAGATACTGGTTCTGGATGAATTTCTTTTTTTTTTTTTAATTTTTTATTGTTGGCTGTTCAAAACATTACATAGTTCTTGATATATCATATTTCACAATTTGATTCAAGTGGGTTATGAGCTCCCATTTTTACCCCATATACAGATTGCAGAATCACATCAGTTACACATCCATTGATTTACATATTGCCATACTAGTGTCTGTTGTATTCTGCTGCCTTTCCTATCCTCTACTATCCCCCCTCCCCTCCACTCACCTCCCCTCTTCTCTCTCTGCCCCCTCTACTGACATTCGTTTGTCCCCCTTGTATTATTTTTCCCCTTCCCCTCACTTCCTCTTGTATGTACTTTTGTATAACTCTGAGGGTCTCCTTCCATTTCCATGCATTTTCCCTTCTCTCTCCCTTTCCCTCCGACCTCTCATCCCTGTTTAATGTTAATCTTCTTCTCATGCTCTTCGACCCTACTCTGTTCTTAGTTACTCTCCTTATATCAAAGAAGACATTTGGCATTTGTTTTTTAGGGATTGGCTAGCTTCACTTAGCATAATCTGCTCTAATGCCATCCATTTCCCTGTAAATTCTATGATTTTGTCATTTTTTAATGCAGAGTAATACTCCATTGTGTATAAATGCCACATTTTTTTTATCCATTCGTCTATTGAAGGGCATCTAGGTTGGTTCCACAGTCTTGCTATTGTGAACTGTGCTGCTATGAACATCGATGTAGCAGTGTCCCTGTAGCATGCTCTTTTTAGGTCTTTAGGGAATAGACCAAGAAGGGGAATAGCTGGGTCAAATGGTGGCTCCATTCCCAGCTTTCCAAGAAATCTCCATACTGCTTTCCAAATTGGCTGCACCAATTTGCAGTCCCACCAGCAATGTACAAGTGTACCCTTTTCCCCACATCCTCGCCAGCACTTGTTGTTGTTTGACTTCATAATGGCTGCCAATCTAACTGGAGTGAGATGGTATCTTAGGGTGGTTTTGATTTGCATTTCTCTGACTGCTAGAGATGGTGAGCATTTTTTCATGTACTTGTTGATTGACTGTATGTCCTCCTCTGAGAAGTGTCTGTTCAGGTCCTTGGCCCATTTGTTGATTGGGTTGTTTGTTCTCTTATTGTCTAATTTTTTGAGTTCTTTGTATACTCTGGATATTAGGGCTCTATCTGAAGTGTGAGGAGTAAGATTTGTTCCCAGGATGTAGGCTCTCTATTTACCTCTCTTATTGTATCTTTTGCTGAGAAAAAACTTTTTAGTTTGAGTAAGTCCCATTTGTTGATTCTAGTTATTAACTTTTGTGCTATGGGTGTCCTATTGAGGAATTTGGAGCCCGACCCCACAGTATGTAGATCGTAGCCAACTTTTTCTTCTATCAGACGCCGTGTCTCTGATTTGATATCAAGCTCCTTGATCCATTTTGAATTCACTTTTGTGCATGGCGAGAGAAAGGGATTCAGTTTCATTTTGTTGCATATGGATTTCCAGTTTTCCCAGCACCATTTGTTGAAGATGCTATCCTTCCTCCATTGCATGCTTTTAGCCCCTTTATCAAATATAAGGTAGTTGTAGTTTTGTGGATTGGTTTCTGTGTCCTCTATTCTGTACCATTGGTCCACCCGCCTGTTTTGGTACCAGTACCATGCTGTTTTTGTTACTATTGCTCTGTAGTATAGTTTGAAGTCTGGTATCGCTATACCGCCTGATTCACACTTCCTGCTTAGCATTGTTTTTGCTATTCTGGGTCTTTTATTTTTCCATATGAATTTCATGATTGCTTTCTCTATTTCTACAAGAAATGCCGTTGGGATTTTGATTGGCATTGCATTAAACCTATAGAGAACTTTTGGTAATATCGCCATTTTGATGATGTTAGTTCTGCCTATCCATGAACAGGGTATATTTTTCCATCTTCTAAGATCTTCTTCTATTTCTCTCTTTAGGGTTCTGTAGTTTTCATTGTATAAGTCTTTCACCTCTTTTGTTGATTCCCAAGTATTTTATTTTTTTTGAGGATATTGTGAATGGAGTGGTTGTCCTCATTTCCATTTCAGAGGATTTGTCGCTGATATACAGGAATGCCTTTGATTTATGCATGTTGATTTTATATCCTGCCACTTTGCTGAATTCATTTATTAGCTCTAATAGTTTCTTTGTAGACCCTTTTGGGTCTGCTAGGTATAGAATCATGTCATCTGCAAATAGTGATAATTTAAGTTCTTCTTTTCCTATTTTGATGCCTTTAATTTCTTTCGTCTCTCTAATTGCTCTGGCCAGTGTTTTGAGAACTATGTTGAACAGAAGTGGTGAGAGAGGGCATCCCTGTCTTGTTCCAGATTTTAGAAGGAATGCCTTCAATTTTTCTCCATTCAGAATGATGCTAGCCTGAGGCTTAGCATAGATTGCTTTTACAATATTGAGGTATGTTCCTGTTATCCCTAGGTTTTCTAGAGTTTTGAACATAAAGGGATGCTGTACTTTGTCGAATGCTTTTTCCGCATCTATCGAGATGATCATATGGTTCTTATTTTTAAGTCTATTGATGTGGTGAATAACATTTATTGATTTCCGTATATTGAACCAGCCTTGCATCCCAGGGATGAATCCTACTTGATCATGGTGCACAATTTTTTTGATATGTTTTTGTATCCGAGTGGCCAGAATTTTACTGAGGATTTTTGCATCTAGGTTCATTAGAGATATTGGTCTGTAGTTTTCTTTCTTTGAAGTGTCTTTGTCTGGTTTAGGTATCAGGGTGATGTTGGCCTCGTAGAATGAATTTGGAAGTTCTCCCTCTTTTTCTATTTCCTGAAGTAGCTTGAAAAGTATTGGTATTAGTTCCTCTTTAAAGGTTTTGTAAAACTCTGCTGTATACCCATCCGGTCCTGGGCTTTTCTTAGTTGGTAGTCTTTTGATGGTTTCTTCTATTTCCTCAATTGATATTGGTCTGTTTAGGTTTTCTATATCCTCCTGACTCAATCTGGGCAGATCATATGACTTAAGAAATTCATCTATGCCTTCACTATCTTCTAATTTATTGGAGTATAAGGATTCAAAATAATTTTTGATTATCTTCTGTATTTCTGAAGTGTCTGTTGTGATATTGCCTCTTTCATCCCGTATGTTAGTAATTTGAGTTCTCTCTCTTCTTCTCTTCGCTAGCATGGCTAAGGGTCTGTCGATTTTGTTTATTTTTTCAAAGAACCAACTTTTAGTTTTGTCAATTTTTTCAATTGTTTCTTTTGTTTCGATTTCATTGATTTCAGCTCTGATTTTAATTATTTCTTGCCTTCTACTTCTTTTGCTGTTGTTTTGCTCTTCTTTTTCTAGGATTTTGAGATGAAGTATGAGATCATTTATTTGTTGGTTTTTTCTTTTTTTAAGGAATGAACTCCAAGCAATGAATTTTCCTCTTAGAACTGCTTTCAACGTGTCCCATAGATTCCGATATGTTGTGTCTGTGTTTTCATTTATCTCTAAGAATTTTTTAATTTCCTCCTTGATGTCTTCTATAACCCATTGATCATTCAGTAACCTATTGTTCATTCTCCAAGTGATGTATGCTTTTTCCTTCCTTCTTTTATCGTTGATTTTCAGTTCCATTCCATTATGATCAGATAGGATGCATAGTATTATCTCTATTCCTTTATATTGTCTAAGAGTTTCCCTGTGACATAATATATGATCTATTTTTGAGAAGGATCCATGTGCTGCTGAGAAAAAAGTGTAACTGCTTGATGTTGGGTGGTATATTCTATATATGTCAATTAAGTCTAGGTTATTAATTGTGTTATTGAGTTCTATAGTTTCCTTATTCAACTTTTGTTTGGAAGATCTGTCCAGTGGCGAGAGAGGTGTGTTGAAGTCTCCCATGATTATTGTATGGTGGTCTATTAGACTCTTGAACTTGAGAAGAGTTTGTTTGATGAACATAGCTGCACCATTGTTTGGGGCATATATATTTATGATTGTTATGTCTTGTTGGTGTATGGTTCCCTTGAGCAGTATGTAGTGTCCCTCTTTATCCCTTTTGATTAACTTTGGCTTGAAATCTATTTTATTTGATATGAGTATGGATACTCCTGCTTGTTTCCAAAGTCCATATGAGTGATATGATTTTTCCCAACCTTTCACCTTCAGCCTATGTATGTCTTTTCCTATCAAATGCGTGTCCTGTAGGCAGCATATTGTTGGGTCTTGTTTTGTGATCCATTCTACTAGCCTGTGTCTCTTGATTGGTGAGTTTAAGCCATTAACATTTAGGGTTATTATTGAGATATGGGTTGTTCTTCCAGCCATATTTGTTTATTTATGTTACTAAACATGGTTTGTTTTCCTCTTTGATTATTTTCCCCCCTTAAGTGTCCTACCTCCCACTGTTGGTTTTCATTGTTATTTTCCATTTCCTCTTCCTGTAATGTTTTGCCAAGGATGTTTTGAAGAGATGGTTTTCTAGCTGCAAATTCTTTTAACTTTTGTTTATCGTGGAAGGTTTTAATTTCATCTTCCATCCGGAAGCTTAATTTCGCTGGAAACACAATTCTTGGTTGGAACCCATTTTCTTTCAGTGTTTGAAATATGTTATTCCAGGATCTTCTAGCTTTCAGAGTCTGTGTTGAAAGATCAGCTGTTATCCTGATTGGCTTACCCCTAAATGTGATCTGCTTCCTTTCTCTTATAGCTTTTAAAATTCTCTCTTTATTCTGTATGTTGGGCATCTTCATTATAATGTGTCTAGGTGTGGGTCTCTTATGATTTTGCACATTCGGCGTCCTGTAGGCTTCTAGGATTTGGGGTTCTGTCTCATTCTTCAAGTCTGGGAAGTTTTCTCGTATTATTTCATTGAATAGATTGCTCATTCGTTTGGTTTGAAACTCTGTCCCTTCCTGTATCCCAATGACTCTTAAATTTGGTCTCTTGATGTTATCCCATATTTCTTGGATGTTCTGCTCATGGTTTCTTAACAGTCTTGCTGAGCTGTCTATGTTCTTTTGAAGTTGAAATACTTTATCTTCATTGTCTGATGTTCTGTCTTCTAAGTGTTCTACTCTGCTGGTAGTATTCTCAATTGAGTTTTTAAGTTGGCTTATTGCTTCCTGCATTTCTAGGATTTCTGTTTGTTTGTTTTTTATAACCTCTATTTCCCTGTATAGTTGATCTTTTGCTTCTTGGATTTGTTTATGTAATTCATTGTTGAAGTGATCTTTCATTGTCTGATTTTGCTGTCTGATGTCTTCCTTGAGACTCCACATCATCTGAAGCATGTATATCCTGAATTCTTTATCTGACATTCCATCTGCTGCAGCTCTTACCTCTTCTAACGTTGAGTTGACCTGCAATGCTTGTGGTCCTTTCTTTACTTGTCTCTTCATACTGTTCGCGTTCCTTTCTACTTGGTGAAACTGTTGTGCTATTGAATTTTCCCCCTATATATTTATATTGGTCTTGTATAGTTGCAAAGTCTCCCTCGCAGGCGCGGGCGGCGGCTCTGCCCCTCCTCCAATTGGGGCAATGTGCCTACCACGCCGGCAGGCCGCTGGGCCTGCTCTGCCGGTCGGTAGCAGGTCCGCCGACCTTGCAGGCGCGGGCGGCGGCTCTGTCCCTCTGCGGGCCGTTAGGCTTGTTCTGTCGGTGGTCGCAGTTCTGCCTACTTTGCAGGCGCAGGCAGCGGCACTGCCCCTCTGCACGCCTCTGGGGCTGTACTGCCAGTGGGTCGCAGGTCCGCCTACCTTGCAGGCGCGGGGGGGGGCGGCTCTACCCTTCCTCAGGCCACTGGGCCTGTTCTGTCTCTCGGTTGCAGGTCTGGCCTGTTCTGATGGTGGTCACAGTTCCGTCTACCTTGCAGGCGTGGGGGGGAGGGGGCGGCTCTGCCTCTCAGCAGGCCGCTGCTCCTCTTCTGCCGGTGGGTCGCAGGCCCGCCTACCTTGCAGGAGTGATTGGAAGCTCTGCCCCTCCGCGGGCCACTGGGCCTTTTCTGTCTGTGGTCACAGTTCCGCCTACCTGGCAGGCGCGGGGGGTGGGGGGCGGCTCTGCCCCTCAGCAGGCCGCTGGGCCTGTTCTGTGGATGGTCACAGTTCCCTCTACCTTGCCGGCGCAGGGGGAGGGGGCGGCTCTGCCTCTCAGCAGGCCGCTGCTCCTCTTCTGCCGGTGGGTCGCAGGCCCGCCTACCTTGCAGGAGTGATTGGAAGCTCTGTCCCGCCGCGGGCCACTGGGCCTTTTGGATGAATATCTTATAGGAATCTTGTGAAGTGGATATTATATCCCATTTTAGTGGTTAAAAAACTGAGCTTCTGAAAGGTCAAATTACTTGCTCAAGGTCAATCAGTCATGAAACAGTAGTCAAAGCTCAACCCTACTTAGATCCACTAATTTCAAAGCCTGTGATTTGTTTGCTGTTCTTAAATCTTCTCTGATAACAAAGATCAAAGTAGATGGCTAAGGAAAAATGTTTTTAAAAGGGTCAACATATTACCAAGAGTGATCTATATATTCAATGTAATCTCCATCAAAATACCAACAACATTCTTCACAGAACTAGAAAAAATAGTCCTAAAGAAGAATAAAAGACTCAGAATAGTCAAAGCAATTCTAAGCAAAAAAAAAAAAAGCAATGCTGGAGACATGCAGATTCCTGACTTCAAAGTATAGTACAGAGCTATAATAACAAAAATTATATGGTACTGGCATAAAAAGAGACATATAGACCAGTGCAACCAAACAGAAGTCACAGAGACAAACCCACACAAGTACAGTCATCTGAATCCTTTATAAAGGTGCCAAAAACATGTTGGAGAAAAGACAGCCTTTTAAACAAACGATGCTGGCAAAACTGGATATCCATATGTGGAAGAATAATACTAGCTCTCTATTTTTTACCCTGCACAAAAGTCAATGTAAAATGGATCAAGTACTAGAAATTAGACCAGAAACTCTGTGACTGCTAAAAGAATATGTAGGGTCAACAATCCAACCTATAGGCACAGACAACAGCTTCCTCTATGGAAGCTCAGGAAATAATACCAAGAATTAAAGAGTAGGAGAGCATTAAATTAGAAAGTTTCTGTACAACAAGGAAACAATTAAGAATGTGAAGAGAATCCACTGGGTGCGGTGGCCCATAATTCCAGTGGCTTGGAGGCTGAGGTAGAAGGATCGTGTGTTCAAAGCCAGCCTCAGCAAAAGCAAGGTGCTAAACAACTTGGTGGGACCCATCTCTAAATAAAATACAAAATAGGGCTCGGGATGTGGCTCAGTGGTTGAGTCCCCTTGAGTTCAACTGCCATTAACCCCCATCAAAAAGAAAAAAAGAATGTGTAGAGAGAGAGTCTACAGAGTGGGAGAAAAATCTTTGCAATTTACTCTTCCAACAGAAGATTAATATCCAGAGTATAGAGAACTCAAAAAACTTAACACTGAAAAAACAAATAATCCAATCAATAAATGTGCAAATGAACTAAAAGATATGTTTCAAAAGAAGAAATACAAGTGGCCAACAAATATACGAAAAATGTTCAACATCTTTAGCAATCCAGGAAATGCAAATCCAAACTACACTGAGATTTCATCTCACTCCAGTTAGAATGGCAGCCATCACAAATATAAATAATAATAAATCCTGAAGAGGATGTGGGAGAAAGAAACACTTATATTGTTGGTATAATATAATCTCTATAGAAAACAATATGCAGTTTCCTCTAAAGACTAGGAATGGAAACATCAAAAACCAGCTATATCAAGAATTAATAAAAGAGATAGCATCACTTCTCAGTATTTATCCTAAAATATTAAAATCAGCATAATATATAGATTGTAAAAATTATGGAAGCAGCCTAGTGTCCATCAACAGATGAATGGATAAAGAAAATGTGGTATATATACTCCATGGAGTTAGCCATAAAGAAGAAATTATGTTGACTGCAGGAAAGTGGATAGAACTCGAGAGCTTATATTAAGCAAAATAAGCCAGATTCAGTAAGTCAAGGGTTATATGCTTTCTCTCATATGTTGAAGTTAGAGAGACAAAAAAGGGAAAAATAGAGGGGGAGCTCATGAAAATAGAGGGGATATCAATAGAGTAGAGGAAGGGAACCAAGGGAAGGGAGGAAGAGAGGGAAATGGGAAGTACTACTGAATTAAATAACCTAATTATATTGTTATATTGTGCGCATGTATGAGAATGTAACAACAAATCATAAAGCATCAATAAAATACAAAATATAAAAAGGCCAAATGAGGGAAATATGTAACACCAAAACAATTTATACTGCATTACTTTCTCACCTCCATAGTCCCACTGACTATTTGGTTCCCAGTTATAAAATACTCTGTAGGAAATTCACGAGTCCTGAGGTAGAATGCCACAATTGTTGAGAAGATTCGAACCATAGTTTCATCACTAAAAGAATTAATACTGCAGATGTTGAAATGTCGAAGAAAACGGGGAGTGACTGGATTTCTTCCACCACCTGGAGGACCCATGGCAGCAATCAGCTCTATATCAACCAGTGTGATTTTACTTGTGTCCTTAAGATCATACCTTATAAACACATAAAAATTTAAACAATCTGTTATAAATAAGATGGAATTAATATAGATATCCCTAGAAATTTAATCTGATTTTAGCTTCTATAAAAGGAATAATTTTACATATGCTTTAAGTAGGAGATAATCTTTTATTTGAAGTAGAATTTTATTTCTGCCTTCAATGACACTGATTCAATTACCCAGATTCTATGATGATGATTTTTCTATGATTCAATACAAAAGGCATGATCTATGAAAGAAATAATCAAAAAGCTGACTTCATTAAAATTAAAGCTTCTGGGGTTGCAGCTCAATAGTGGAACACTTGCCTAGTATGTGTGAGGCACTGGGTTCAATTCTCAGCACAACGTATAAATAAATAAATAAAAATAAAAGTCCACTGACAACTAAAAATTATGGCCCTTCATCCTATCCTTCCATTTATTTCCTCCTACATTTCATTCCAATTTGACTCTCCATTTTTCCTTTTCTTTCTCCAAACCCAGAAACATGGATGAACGCTCCTACAACCTACTTGTAGCTAGATATAGGTAGGATGGCTTTATGTCCCACTTTACCTAGGACAAATCTAGTTTATGCTGGTTGTCCAGTAAATATTAATGATATCCTCCTTTTATTCTCAGAAATGTCCCAGTTTGAACCATGAATTATACAGTTGCCCTAGTTATGGTGATGTCCTGGCTTTCTTTTTCTCATATCAAATCTAATCTTCAGAATACATAAGATTGTCTAAATAGTACCTATATGTACTTTGTTATGCTAGAAAGAAATGAGCCAAAAGAAGACACAGAGGAAACTTAAAGGCACATTTTAAGTGAAAGATGGCAATCTGGAAGGATTATATACTGTATGATTCCAATTATATAACTGCTATAGTTTGGATCTTGAATATCCCACATAGGCCTATGTGTTAAAGTCTTGGCACCATTGGGAGGTGGTAGAAACTTTAAGAGGTGGGGTCTAGTGGGAGGTTTTCAGGTCACTGGGGACATGCTCTCAAAGAGGATTCTGGGACCCTCGTCTTTCCCTTATGGCTACCTAGCCATAAGTTGAATGGTTTTGCTCCCTACACACTCCCTGCCATAATGTGTTATTTCTGCAAGACTGAAAGCGAAAGGGTTAACTAACATGGACTGAAACCTCTAAAAATAAGAGAAAAAAAATCCTTGTTCTTTATAAGCTGATTATTCATATATTGTTAAAGCAACAAAAAGCTGACTAAGTGGAAAAGGCTAAACTATGGAGATAATAAAAAGATTAGTTGTTGCCAGGTAGGGGGTGGTGAAAAACAGTACAGAAGACTTTTAAGGCAGTGATACTAATATATATGATATTATAATGATAGACACATGAAATTATACAGTTTCCAAACTCTTGAATGTACAACATGAAGAACAAGCACTAAGGTAAACTATGAACTTTGGGTGATTATGATTTGTCAATGTAAGCTTATCAACTGAACAAATGTACCACTCCAGTGGAAAATGTAGATAATGGGGGAGGCTAGCATATTTGGGAACAGAAATTATACAGACAATCTCTATACCTTCTTATTGCTTCATTATAAGTCTAAAACTCCTCTAAAATAATCTTCAAAAAAGATATACACTTGGGTGTGGTGGCACACACCTATAATCCTAGCTACTTGGAAGAGTCGGGTGAGAAGATCACTTAAGCACAGTTCAAGGCCAGTCTAGACAACACAGAGAGACACCATCTCAAAAAAAAAAAAAAAAAAAGAAAGAAAGAAAAGAAACAAAAACAAACACAAGATATAGAAAATCCTTCCAAAACTTCTGTATAGGAAAATCTCATCAATGATCTTTTTCCTTAAATAACATAAAATGTACTATTTTGCTTTGAAAAACTAAAATATAAAAATGAGCAATTACTTCAGCATAGCTTACTTATTAAGGTGTCAGTTAATATTTACCAATTTCCACAGTCAAAAAACTGTCGTAATAATTCAATAGGAGGTTGAGCTCCATATTTCTCCAATGCAGGCATATTCATATCATCTATGAAAATTATACATTTCTTTCCCATAGGTGGTCCAAAAACTCCTTTGCGTCTCTTATCCAATCTAGCCATAATGATATTCTAAAGTTTTTAAAAGAAAGAGTGATATATTAACCTATAATCATATTACATATTTGTTATTATTATTATTGCTTATGTTAAATTAGTATAAAGAAGGACTTATACTGCCAATATCCATGGGATTTTTATTAGTAGGAGATACCATTTGTTTATCTTATCAAAGACTAACTCAACATAAAATCCTTATTGAACACTAGAAAAAAAAAGGAGTTTAACAGTTTTTGTAAAGAAATAATGTTATCCATTATTATGTATGTGCTTCTTCTTCTTTATTCAAATTTAGGGTAATACTTCATAATATCATTCAAAGAATATTTATGGAAACCCTTTTTTACATTCAGAATTGTTACACAGATATTTATACATCATGCTTATATTGTACATGCATATATTTCTATACTGTTTTCCTCATTTTATATCCCAACATTAACTTAATATTTAAAAGCACTTATCTTTCAACCTCTATAAACTTTTTTTAAGAGAGAGAGAGAGAGAGAGAAAGAGAAAGAGAGAGAGAGAGAGAGAGAGAGAGAGAATTTTTAATATTTATTTATTTATTTTTAGTTTTTCGGCAGACACAACATCTTTGTTTGTATGTGGTGCTGAGGATCGAACCCGGGTGGCACGCATGCCAGGCAAGCACACTACCGCTTGAGCCACATTCCCAGCTCCAAACTTTTTATAGTTAATAGGAATGTAAATGTTTTCTTGTATTTCATAATTTTGGAACTCTCTTGTCTATTGTAAACATGAATACTGAATTTATTATTTTAATTCAAATTAAGCTCCACAATAAAGCAGCTTTACATTTGTCAGATTTGTGCAGTCAAGAGAATGTTATGAGCTTAAAACAAGAGAAATGGGGTCAGGTAAGAATGAATAGGCATAGATTTAGGAATGGATGCTAAAAGTGACAATTGAAAAGGTTTCATGAGTAGTTTCACCTTGTCATATTTAGGGGCCAAGGGTAGGATACACAACTACATATTCTTATTACACAAGGTCACATGATAGTCCATGTTTTAAAAGACCCAATGAGCAGCATATGCTCCTAAGACAACACAAGGAGTCTAGAAAGAACAACTGGAAGTTCTCTTATCTCTACCCACTACTGCCTGGTGTGTGTGGTTTATCTTTCTTTTATATTCCCTTCTCCAGTTAAGAAATCAATGTTTGCTTTTTCTCAGGCAAAAAAAAAAAAAAAAAGTGACAATACTAAATAATACATTATTAACACAAAACTGTTCATTTTAACTTTATAGGAGATTTATTCAGTTTCTCATTTGACATGAAATTTAAAACATTTATCAGATAAGGAAAAAATTTCATAGTTATAGACCCATGTTTCTGGTTTTAAACTAACCTGCACTTGATTGGCACTGGTCCGTGCTGAGAAATTAACATAAAAAGGGAAGTACTGGTCCTTTTCCAAGTGATTCATTAGTTTGTCTTTCACATACACTGATTTTCCAGTGCCTGTTGGACCCACAAAAAGCAGTGGCCTTTATGAAAATAATGAATATATCATTTAAAATGTAAGAAATTTGGAATATATTTTCACTGAAAGAAGCTGGAGTTAGTTGAAAACTTAAATCATAAATTATTCTTTATCTAAAAATTCACACTTTTATCTATAATTATTTTATTAAAGATTACTAAAATTAATGATTGGCATACATTTTTGCATAATGTTGCAGTGTCTAATAGTAATAAATTATTATTTAAACAGATTAATGTTAGTATGAACAAAACCACCCATAAACCTAGGCATGGTGGTACATGTAATTCCAGCTATTTGAAAGGCTGAGATGGGAGGACTGCAAATTAGAAGCCAGCCTGGGAAATTTAGTAAGACCCCATATCATAACCATACCCCACACCCCAAAATGAAACACTCATAAAACAAATAATGATATGTTTGTTTGTTTTTTCATAAAAGAAAGTCTAAGTTTGTCTCCCCAGAAAGGTGATGTATTTGTACTTCAAATTTGGGGTACAGACATAGGGTTGGCAGTGTGGAGAATAATAATAAAGTGATAATGTTATAGGTTTAGGATTTTAAAAATTAAAAGCATAAAATTTTGGTGAAAATGAAATAACAGTGAATTCTCAAGCTAAATGTATATATGTATGTGTATACACACACACACACACACACACACACACACCTGTTAAGAGCATTTTTAAATCAATTCAATTACTAACTGAAATTATTTGTCTAAAAGAAAACTCTAGGAAATTCCTCCTTCAGTGAGACCTCAATCAGGGTTTCCCATTCTTGAATAAAATTTACTAATTTGAAAGGGGAAACAATCATATGAGTTTATGTTCACAAAACTAAGGAATTGAGAAATTGAAAAACTAAGTTTGAGAAATGTTGCAGTAAAATGAAATATTTTCACCTTGGTAATTTCTCACCATATAATACATAAAAATAAATGCAAAGGTTGGCACTGAAACTGAGCAGTACTCAGTTGTAAAAGGTTACCTAAGTGAGCCAAATTATGCTAATATTGAAGGAGGAACACCAAGTTAAAGTTCTTTTAGAACTACTATAGGGGATGGGGTTGTGGCTCAGTGGTAGAGTGCTTGCCCAGCATGTGTGAAGCACTGGGCTCAATTCTCAGCATCACATATAAATAAATGAATAAAATAAAGGTCCATCAACATCTAAAAAAATTTTTTTTAAATACTATAGTCTTCAAATCCACTGCTGTATCTTATTAGTGTGTTAATAAAGAAGCAGAAACTTGACTACTATAACTCAAATATACTCAGTATTTTAATACATTTTTATATAAGTAATTTCCTCTGTAATTATGTACTTACTAATTTTAAAATATTTTTCTTGTTGTTGTTGTTTTGAGGTGGTTTCTCACTATGATGCCCAGGCTAGCCTTATCCTCCTATATTAGGCTCCCAAGACCTGCTACAAAGTTTTGACTATTAGCCTCTAAAGTTAAAAAAATGCAACTAGAGATACAAAACAGGGATAAAATAATTTTCCCCATAGCTATTTTCCTGTTTTTTTAAAAACCAACATGAAAGTGCTACAAAATACACTCAGATGCAAGTTCTTTATTTAAAAATAACATGACATTTATAAAGTTTAAGTAGTATTGATGATAAGTTACACCTAATGTTTTAAAAGAAACTGAAAATATTATTTTAAAAGTTGGCATCGTGCCAGACATGGTAGTATATATCTAATCTTAGCTACTTGAGAGGTTGAGGCAGGAGAATCACAAATTCAAATCCAGCCTTAGCAACTTAACAAGACTCTGTCTCAAAATACAAAAGAAAGGGCTGGGGAGGTAGCTCAGTAGTGCAGTGCGGGGTTCAATCCCAAGTATTCCAAAAAAAAAAAAAAAAAAGTTGGTATAGATATGGCTACAGTAAATGTCTAGTCTCCTGACCAGTTTTATATACTATTTTTTGATGTATTATTCTGATTAAAATCTGAGTTTGTAATATTCATATTAAGCTATGGAATCAGAACCAGCATAGAACATATTTTAAAAAATGCTAAGTGTAATGGAAGAATGTGGATCATCATCAGTTTGATATCCTTAGATATCAAACTGAACTATAACTAAGCTATAATGTATAGCTTTTCACAATAACATTGCAACTGGCTTTTAGTCATCTGTTACAAACAAGAGAAATACAAGGTGACTCACAAGATAACAAATATGATGGCAGATGTTGGAGTACACAATAGGAAACCTGAATTCTAGGTTTGCCAATAGCACAGATGTCACTTTAGGCATACAATTAGTCCCCTAGGATCTCGGTTACCTGAAACTGGATAACCTCAGAGTTTACTTTAAAAATTGCTGTAATTGTATTAGAATGAACTATTACATGTAAAATTCATGTATATAATAGGGTTCCTTACTTTGCATAGGTAATACTCAAATCCATTAGAAATGTATATCTAATTGTGTCCATCGTAGGGACTATGATATCTTGAATCTTGATGCGCTTATCTTCTAAATCAGTACTTTTAATTAATTCATTCCAATGGAGCCAGCGACCTCGGTTTTTCAACTACAAGAGAATATATTTCAAAATATTATAACAATGCAATTGCTATACCGGAAAGGCTCTTTTCAATACTTAAACTGTTTACTTTCAAAATCTTTAGTTTTAGAAGCACACAGTGGAACACACCTGTGATCCCAGCTACTTGGGAAGCTGTGGCTGGAAAAGTCCAAGTTCAAGGTTAGCCTGGGCAATTTAGCAAGACCTTGTCTCAAAAATAAAATACAAAGATTGGGATGTAGCTTAGTGATACCCTGTATTCAATTTTCAGTACCACAAAAGTCAAAACAAAAAAACTTCTAATCTTTTCCTCTTTTTATGGAAATATTAGATTTGTATAAAAGAATATAAGTAATAAAGCAGATTAATAATATAAATACCCATGAATCTACCACCCAGTTTAAGATATATATTTTTCTTTAGACTTTTCTTTTTAAATGATAATCTGAAAAATGTAACGTTACTTTATTACTATTTTAACATATCTAGAATTCCAAATATATTTGCCTTTATGTCCTCTTAAACACTCTAATCTCCCCCCAAATCCTTTAAGATATCAATTTGCATTTATTTTTAATTTTTTTTTAATTTTTTTAATATTTATTTTTTTTGTTGTTTTCGGCAGACACAACATCTTTGTTTGTATGTGGTGCTGAGGATTGAACCCGGGCCGCACGTATGCCAGGCGAGCGCGCAACCTCTTGAGCCACATCCCCAGCCCTCAATTTGCATTTAAATGCCACATATTTATCTGAAAGCCACTATAATGTACCTCTAGTTAGAATTTTCTGCATTTTGAGACCATGTTTTTCATATTTTGAGTAAACAAGCAATAATCTAAAAACATCACTTTAATTCTCTATATTTTTTTCTATAAAATTATTCTCTTTGGCATTTTGATACTGGCTGATAGTCTAACAGGACATATCAGCATGGTGGAACTAATTGTTAAAATACTGAAATTCTTCTGAACCACTGGCTGAATGAGTTATTTTGCTGACACAATTAAGTGCTTTTCCATCTGCACCATTTCTACCCATTATTTTCTTCTTCATGTTGTCTTTCTCCCTGGAGACTACCAGGCTTTCCACTGTCAAGTAATAATAAAAGGACTCTTACCTGGCAAAGTAGCAGAAGCCTAGGATCTTGCTCTGGTGTTATAGCTGGCTCTAAGAATCTTTTCCTATTTTCTAGTCGTTTATATATGTCTATGACACATGTATATCTGGTGGTCATTTTTCAAATTTGGGTAAACATTTCTTTAGTAATTCATTATTTTAAGTTTTAGCTTTTATTTTCATCAAAGTTATATAAACACATATTTTAGAGACAAAAGATTTACAAGAAAAACAGTAGTTCCCTCCTCCCATTTTCCCCTCCAGTGGCAACTACCTTTACCTCTTTAATCCAGCCATTTTGATATTTACCTTCGATTCTTAAAAGAACATGCTGGCATTACTACCTCTTGGTTTTTCACTTTTAGTGAGTACTTCATTGACTTCTCTCTCTGACTACTGAGATTGAAACTCTTTCTGGTCATATTCTTAAATTTCTGTGTCAGCATATTTTGAGGGAAGGAGTCCCACACTGTTGTTGGTCTGCCAAACTGGGTTCAAGTTCTGGCTCTGCTAGCCACTTACCTTTCAAAGTTTCTATAATTTAGGTAAAATTAGAATTAAGGCTCTATCAAGATCTTCTGGATTGTGAAATAAAATTTGTATGAATAAAATGATGTTTAAATACTTACTATTTAAAAGAATCCTTTTGTGGATTCTTTTTATATAAAGTGGAATAGTAAATTAAAATTAAACATGAAATTATATGATATTATTAAAGCAAATCTATACTACCAACAAGTTATAGAACAAGAAATAAAGGGATGAAAAAGCTTACCTCAAGAATCTAAATCACACTGGGATAGAAAATCAGGAGCTTTGTCTACTGATTCAAGACACTATGTTTTATATCTTATCATAATAAACATTTTATGTCATACCTCATACATGTAGTCATAGACCAGGCCTTTTTCTTCAAATTGGCATTCCCATTTACCCACACCATCTGGCACTGGGTATTTTTCATTTTTGCCCATTATAAGTGATCTTATGAAAGAATCAAAATTAAGACGACTATCTGTATCACAACCTCCTCCAATGGACCATATTAAAGAGAATATAAAGCAAGCCTGTTGATGAAAAAAAATTAAAAGAAATTTAAAGAAAAACTTAACTAAAATTTAACATACCAGGACTTGCTCAAACTAGTTGGTCACAGATATGAATAAAGTACAATGAAGCACAGCTAAGCTATATGAAGAGTCATTTCTCTGGCAATATTTATGAAAAATTCAAATGCCCATACTAAATTACCTAGGAATTTAACTTTATCTTCAAATATATTCCTGCCTGTGAAAATGCACAATAAATGTGATTGCAGCACTATTTGTAAATGACAAAAGATCAGAAACAACCCAAATGTTCTTCAACAGGGGTTATGTTTAATATTATGCTACACATACTAACATATATGTAGCTCTTAAAAAACAAAGTGACTCTTAAGTACTGATATGAAACAAACTCCAAGACACATTTTGAGAATACAAAAGAAGTATATGCATAAAATACCTCTAGTAAGCTACACAGGAATGAAATGAAACAGACTCTGAAATTAGGGCAACTTCTTGATACCTGTTTTTCAGCATCCTGTACTTCCTCAGACTGAGGGAAGAGGCTAAAGGGCAGCCTCTCACTTCCCTGCCCTGTCCTACCACCTCAACCTGCTGGGAGCCAGGAAACCTTAGACTTGAATGTTTCTGGTGAACACAGGCTAGCTATATCTACACATGTATGTTTTCTACCTTTGTCCTGCTCTGCCTTCTAAAAGTTTTTTGTATTGCTGAACTCCCCAGAGATGGAGATTTGAAACTGAAAGATTTCTTCCATATTCTTCAAAGCTGGCTTTGAATAAACCAAATTTCCTGCCAAAGTTCTCTGAGTTTTTAGTGGAGTGACAAGTAATTATTTTGTAAAAGGTAATACTGATGTGTATGGAAGAATGTTAGATATTAGTCCTACGAAAAATAGTTCCAAGCCTGGGGGTAGGGAGAAGGGATAGATAAATTATACTTCAAAGATATCTGTTCAGGGCTGGAGTTGTGGCTCAGTGGTAAAGCACTTGCCTGACATGTGTGAGGCCCTGGGTTCGGTCCTCAGCACCACATATAAATAAATAAAGTAAAAGATCCATTGACAACTAAAAATATTTTTTAAAAGTATATCTGTTCAATTTTTTTCTGAAGTGGAGGTATGTAACAATAACAAGGGAGGCAGAAAGGAAGAAGTTATGGTTATCAGGAAACCTTGGAATGTGAGATGTCTAAGGTAGAATATTTTCTGTGACAACAAGGTAAATGGAAAACAACAGGAGGGAACTGCTATGACCATAGAGTAAGAGGACAGCAGAAAACCTCAAGGCATTAAGAATGCAGTGGCAGTCCTCCTTTGGCAGCACATAATAATAAAATTAGAATGATACAGAGATGATTAGCATGTCCCCTGCACAAGGATGATATGTGAATTCTTGAAGTGTTCCATATTATTGCAATTATGAAAATGACTAACATATAGAATAAGAATAAAATTTTAAAGGGTGTCAGAAACTTTCCATGATAAACAAAAGTTAAAAGAACTAGAAGAAAAAGTAGGCCCAACTCTCTAACATGCCGGCTTGGGAACCAAATTCCTCAACAATACTCCTAAAGTAAAAGAAGTAAAATCAAGAATCAATGACTAGAATGGTATCCAACTGAAAAGCTTCTTCACAGCAAAAGAAACAATCAAGAATGTGTACAGAGATTCTACAGATTGGGAGAAGATCTTCACCACCAATACCTCATATAAGGTATTAATTTCTAGGATATACAAAGACCTCAAAAAATTTACCACCAGAAAAATAAACAATCCAATCAATAAATGGGCAAAGGAACTGAACAGGCACTTAACAGAAGAAGTATGAATGTTCAACAAATATATGAAAAAATGTTCAACATCTCTAGTAATTAGAGAAATGCAAAGTAAAACTACACTGAGATTTTATCTCACTTCAGTCAGAATGGCAATTATCAAAAATACAAGTAACAATAAATGTTGGCAAGGATGTGGGGAGAAAGGTACTCTCATACATTGTTGGTGAGACTGAAAACTGGTGCAATTACTCTGGAAAGCAGTATGGAGATTCCTTAGAAAACTTGGAATGAACCACCATTTGACCCAGTTATCCCACTCCTTGGCATATACCCCAAAGACTTAAAATCAGCATTTTAAAGTGACATGGCCACATCAATGTTTATAGTAGCTTAATTCACAATAGCAAAGCTAGGGATCCAATCTAGGTGTCCTGCAACAGATGAATGGATAAAGAAAATGTGGTATATATATAAAATTACTCAGCTATATAGAAGAATGAAATTATGACATTTGCCAGTAAATGGATAGAACTGGAAACTGTCATGGTAAGTGAAATAAGCCAATCCTCAAAAACCAAAGCCTGAAAATTATTTCTGATATAAGAATGCTAACACACAATAAGTAGGGAAGGGAAGAATAGCAGATTTCATTGGATTAGACAAAGGGGAATGAAGGGAAGAAAGGGAAGATGGGAATAGAAAAGACAGTAGAATGAATTGGACATAACCTTCTTATGCTCACATATGAATACCCAACCAATGTAACTCCCACAAGAATGGGAAGTTTTACTCCATATATGTATAATATGTCAAAATATACTCTATTGTCATATATATCTAAACAATATTTTTTTATTTTTGAAAAGAAAAAAAAATGTGACAGATGGGGAAGAGGCCTAGACAAGGAAAAGGGACAAAACCTTTCCTTTGGTTCTCTTTGATAATTTCTCCTTACTATTACCATGGTCTCTGGTCTTCTCTGAACTCTGACATTAGCTAGCCAAGTCTACTGGCTTCTCTCTACCTAAATCCTTCAGGGATTCTGCCTGTCATGCTTCTTTAGTCTTTCATAGTTTATATGCTGTTTAATGCTGGCTTATTATAAAGATAAAATCAATTTAAAGTCTCAATGGGCTTACTATTAAATCACCTTATCAAGTATTTATCAAATTATGATGTTTCATAAAATATAGGGCAGTTTTGGTTCATTCTGACATATGTTATTTTCTTGTGTTTTTTAGTATCAGAATCAAAGTTGCCAGGTCGGGTAACTTTAACGTCTTCAATATTCTTTCAGTGATCACCAGAAAACAGTTTTGAATCTTATAAATGTCTTACTCAATACAAGTATCAATTGCCAGAAGCATATTTTATTCTGTAATTTAAAACTACATAAAGTATAAAACCAACCATAATCCAAACACGAATGTGCTTGCTAGTAGGATCGTTTTCTACCACATTACAGAGTAGTACTTCAATGAGCCGTGTGAGAGAGACAACCACATTGCTATTACTGGTATGAATCAGTTCCTGCAAAGTGAAAAGAATAAGACATTATTCATAACTTTCAGTTTATTTGAAGAATAAAAGAAGATAAATATTTCAGTTTTAAAAAATGATAACATACATTATATTCATAAACATGAATTTTAAAACATTAATTTAAAAACATCTAAAGAATTTAATTTTTTGACTGATAAAAACCATTTCTTGACTACTTTAGCTTGGCATATAACCATAACCAAAAAATTGTATATAACATACTCTAAATCCTCTGAGAAATGCAAACTAGTTTCTGTAAGGGAATAAATAATGTTCTAAAGATAACAAAAATGAAGTCTCTTATAGCAATTCATTCATTTATTTATTCAACAAACATTTCATATAGGCATGAAAGACATGCCTATATGCCTATATACCATGTTAGGAGATAATGAAAATAAAAAACAATGCCTGAAAAGGAGCATCATTAAAATTAAATAGATGGGGCTGAGGTTGTGGCTCAGTGGTAGAGTGCTTACCTAGCATGTATGAGATGCTTGGTTCAATCGTTAGCACCACATAAAAATAAATAAATAGAATAAAGGTATTGTGTCCATCTACAACTAAAAATATTTTTAAAAAACTAAATAGTCAAATATATTTTGTTGTGATAATGGTATGACAGAGGAAGTCTCAGGGTAGGAGAATGTTATTAGAATACTGGGGATAAACAATTAGCCTGGCCCCAAGGAAATGGAAGAGGATTAAGGCAAGGAAGGCTTCCCAGAGGAAGCAATAGCTGAGTTGAATTTGGAAGGAAAAAGTGGTAGGGAAGGATGTTCAAGGTAGGGGCAGCCATTCATTCAAAGAAAGGAGATATGAGCAGATAATTAGTAAAATTCTGTTGGATATGAAAATAGAGTGTGAAGGACGAATGGCAAAAAACAAGGCTTGAGAAGCAGACAAAGGTCAGATTCCAAAAAGCACTGTGGGGTGTGTTAGTGGTCTCAGTATAAGAGAAAGTTCCAGTGAAGGGTTTTAAGTGAAGGAGTAATCAGAATAGATTTATGTTTTGGAATCTTCACTCTAATATCAGGATATATATTGGACCAGAGCAGGTCTACTGTATTTGTTCAGTAGACCTGAACAAATTATTAAGGTCAGAACTGAGCCTACCATAATAAAAAGGGTGGGAATGAAAAGAAATGGGAATGGAAAGAAGATAAATAAAAATGTTATCAAGGAGGGAAAAATCAATAGTTCTCTGAGAACTGACTGGATATAGAAAATATAGAATTGTGAAAAGAAATCCATCATTCATTACCTGGAAAGATGGAGTCTATTTTGTATTATTTAAAATGTATAAGTATTAGAGGTTTAAAACTTAAGAACTGCAGAAGAACTTTTTTGTGTATTTTCTCTATGAAGACAATGCATACGATCTTCACAAGGTAGAATTAGCTGATTTTTCTTTTATATACCACATTTTTCTACCCCTAAAATAATACTTTAGGATTAGAAATCTACTGAATACTACTTTTCCCTTTTTATATGAATATATTTATCTATGCATAAGTAAACATGTGTTGATATACATGTGACATGTTGGGGAAGATAGCTAAATAGTAGCTCCCAAAAAGAGAGTTCCATGTCCTAATCCCAGGATTTTATGGAAGTGATCTAACTGAAAAAATTATCTTTGAAGAAGTAATTAAGGACCTTGAGATGAGGAGATCATTTTGGATTATCCTATGGACCCTATACCCAACACCCCAAGTCTTTTTAAGTGCCATACACAACAGAGACAGAGGAGAAGACCATGTGAAGATAGACGAAGAAATTGGAGTTATATAGCCACAGGCCAGGGAACTTCTGAAGCCATCAAAATCTGGAAGAGATACACAAAAATTCTCCCTTGAAGCTCAGCTCTGCTAACATCTTGATTTCAGACTTCTGGCCTCCAAAACTGTGAGAGAATAAATTTCCATTCTTTGAAAACATCAGGTTTGTTATGACAGCCTTAGGAAACTAATAAAATATGTGGTTTTTCATAAAATACTAAACACATGAGAGTTTATGAAGTCATTCATTGAAAACATTTCTTAAATATAGAAAATATTTGGGATTTTAAAAGTTTTAAATTCTATGGTTATAAACAAATAGTTTAGCTGGAATAAATTTAACCTATAGTTATTCAACTGTAACTTGAACAATACAAAACTCCCAGTGGATACTGAATGTGTATAAAGAAAACTGTTTATTATTCACTACCATTGTGACTTTAGATTAATTAAGTTGAATAAAAAACTTAAGAAACTTGAAGAGGTCAGAGAATCATGTTACCTTGCAATTTTTCTTACGAAACCTCAAAGAAGGTGTTATTAACCAGTCAAAAAGTTCTTTCAGAAGAGTTTGATGTTCTGGTTCAAGTAGAGGTCCTTTCAGGGAATGCAACCAAGAAGACACAAGTGGTTCCCATCCTAACTGTGAGGGTTCCAAATAAATCATGCCACATCGGCTTACAGTGGCAGGCTAGAGAAAAAAGACAAAGTTTTCTTTTTCCATAGTTACCTCTATACCAGTAAAACCTGACAATTATTAACACTTCTTAGCATGATTTATAAGGCCTGTCATAATCTGGTTTCTATATCTATAGCCTCATATAGCTGTTCACCAAACAGAAAACTGTTTTCAGTTCTATTCCCCAGACATGTCATAGCTCCATGTCTTTACACATCATCTTATTTTTATACGGAATATCCAGGCCCAACCAATCTCCCTGGAGAAGTGTTACATCTTCCTCAAAACCAGATCAAATATTCAAACACCTTTCATGGTCCTCCACTATCCATTCCCCTTATGGCGGCTCAGTCTCCTCCATGCTCTTGGAGCACTCACACGTAACTGTGTATTGGAATTATTTATAAGCATGCTTCTTACCCTTCCTAAACAAGCTTATACTGTGTCTTATCATCTGTATACCCACTACTAAACCCATTTTATGACACATAATAAAAAAATTCTGACTAAATGAATGAATTAACAAATAAATGAACTACTATTGTATTAAATTACAAACTTACCGAAGCCTGGGAAAGGTCCATTGTTTCAAAGATCAGGCTCATTTGAGGAGACATCTGAATGATTTCTCCACTCATAAGACAAAGCTAAAAGCAATTATTTTCCAAACATTTATTTTAAAATATTTCAAGCTTTTCAGATAAAAATTTATTCTACTTATAAGATAAAGTTTTTCCTGTGGTGTAATGGGAAGTATTAGTGGGAGCCAAAAAATCCTGACATAGAGTTTGGGGTTTATTACATCTCCTAATCTCCTTTAACCTAAAATATGTCAGATATGTCAAAAACTGAATTTATCAACTGCTTCCTTCCTCTCAAATTCTTATCATGTCTATTATTATTATAGCCATCTCTTCAATATCCTTGGCTGGCACCTAGGGAATTATCATTATAATAGTTTTCTTTTGCCATACTAAGAATTGAACCACGAAGCCACATCCCTAGGCCATTGATTTTTGTTTTTATTTTGAGCAAGGTCTCATTAAGTTGGCGAGGGTGGCCTCAGCTTCCCTAGTCACTGGAATTACAGGCATGTGCCACCAAATCTGGTTTTATCATTAATTTTTAATGTATTAATGATTGTCTATTGATAAACCAAATTAATTTTCCCACTCTTTTAAATTCCACATATATTTCTCATAGTTTCCTCTCTGCTTCTACAATCATTGTTCTAGCCCCAGCTTTACCCCATCTAGTTATTTATCAACAATGAGGCATTTAACACATCTAGATTCAGTTTTTTTTTAATGTAAAATAAATGGTCTAGACCCGGATTGTCCATTATGTAGCTATTAATATTTAATTTTACCTAACAAAAATAAAATTTTAAATTCAGTTCTTCAATTCACTAAGCCACTCTTAAAAGAACAAATAGCCACAGTGAGTAGTGGCTAGCTTATCAGATAGCACAGATATTTCCAGCACTGCAGAAAACCATATTAGATGGTGCTAGTCTAGAATACTTTTCACCTTCCACCAGATAATTTCAGCAAAGACTCTTCTATCTGCCACCAATTTGGGAGGTAGAATCAATATTTTCCTCACCCTACTATATTGTTTCCCAACTACTTCTACTTTACCATTGAGTACAACTCTTGCCACTTTGACAGTTCCTCCATTTTCTGTCACCTATCAGTATCCAAGCAGTCTCCTCTCATTAGCTAAAGCCTTTGGCACTTGACCTAGTCTTTCTCCCTTCCATAAGTCTGGCTTCATCCAGTTTTCATAAGGATGAGCATCTCAACACAATAGCCCCTCAGATCCTTACCAACTTGTCTTCATTTATTTTCTCCTTACTCCATTCCAGCCATACAATTTATATATCTAGAAATTTCTCTGCTAAAATACTACATAATCCAGAAATATTAAATACAAGTACCTCATTCTCTGCCACAGATTCCTAATCCACCTAGTTCTCCTGCTCATGGACACCTAACCCACCTGCTATACATTTTCATAAGGATTTCTACATCACTGAAGCTTTCACTTCCTTTGCTAGGCAACTTCTGTTCTAGGGTCCCATGCTTCTATTATTATCATGCCAGTATCTTTAAAGTATTACTATATTTCCAGGTTTGCATCATTACCTACACCTACATCCACACCCAGCCTTCTTAGACTGGTAGAGAATATTTCACACAAAGTCAGACCTTCATAGTATGAATAATTATTTAAAGCCTTTAACTCAGTCAGCCTTTAGAACTATTCAGATATGCTTATATGTTTTCCTAGGCAGATCTCTTTTCCATTTTCCATAAAGGTTAATTTAAAACACTTCCTTTCTCTTCAAGTCTGCAAAGAATCAGGGTATACCTCTTAAGGAAGAAAAATCATCAGAAGGATCTGCCCTTTACATTTCCACTATCAAATCTGTATATCTAAACTTCTATATTTTCTTATCATCTAATATGAGACAACCCTTCTACTTGGCTCTGAAACCTTAGCCTTCACCCCACTGACTAACCATTCTTTTCTAAATCATCACGGTTTCTTATCTGTTTAAATTCCACCCTTAGCTCAATCAATATTAAGTGAATGAAAGAAAGAAAATGAATAAATGAACAAGCATCTATGATAAAGCACTTGAGTATATATTTGAATGCTTATTTAGAATTATAGCCATTTCCTGTAAATGTGAAAATAAATTGAAATGGAATCATACAATATAACACTAATACAGACATAAAAAGAATAAATAAATAAATAAAACACATCAACATGAATATCTCATATACAATGACAGAAAAAAGAAAAATATTAAAAAACATGATTCCATAACATGAAGTTCAAGACCTGGCAAAACTAATTTATCACATAAGTCAAAAGAGTGATTATCTGAGGTAGAATGTTCAGACTGGGGATGTACATAGTGAACCCTGCAGGGTACAGGAAATTTTACCTATCTTTATTTGGATGATAGTTGTATGGGTTTACCTATATAGTAAAAAAATAAATAAATTACAGAATCTGTATTTAGAATTAGCACACATTCAATACTTTATGTATATTATCTCATATATTAAAATAAATATTAGGAGACTTTCACTTTCTAGTTCTTCTAACTTATACCTATAGTAATAAATATATTACTTAAGTATAACACATATAAGGACTAAAGTGTTCAATGTTCTGAAAAGGAACAAATCCTTTTTATTTTCTCCTAAAAATTTTAAAGTCCTATAAGAAATGATACAGTTATTTGACAATTTATTCTTTCTTAGTAGTAGATTACTATGCCTTCCTCTTAATACAGTAGTTTTAATATATTATGTTTTCATTCTATATCAAAAAAGAACAAAGCACTTACTACAGCAAAGTTTTCATTGAAATGATCATTTATAAACATTAAATTTATTGCATCCTTTATTTTAAATATATAATCCTAGTTGATGAGATGTTAAATACAACAAATTACTTAATCATGTCTGAATCTGCTCTGCTTTTAATCAGAGTGATTTACCTTTTTATTATCATCCAATACTGTGTTCATACTCTCTATCCACAAAGTGTCAATAGGACCGTCAAATACAACCCATTTCCGGTCAGGGGTTTCTGATAAGGCAAATTCTCTAAAAGTATTTGCCACAATACCATCAGTCCACTGAAGAAAAAAAAGGAAGAGTTGGAGAGTTCCTTTCAGATAACTGGATTTAGCAGTAAAAACATAAAAACACTTGAAATTCTTGTTTTATTATACACTGTCAATAGGAGAGTTGAGAACATTCTGTTGTGGCTTACCTCATGAGACACTGGGTCAAATTGTCCAAAAAGTTGGCCCATGGTAATTGATTTGGGGTTCACAGTTCTATAAATGACCTTTTCTTCTTCTCCATAGCCGCGTTCATTCATAAGAGATAAAGTATCAGCCAGCACATGTAGTACTTTTGTCTTACCAGCAAAAGGCTTTCCTACTAACATAAAACTATTAAAGCAATTACTCAATAAGTTCCAAAAACTAGAATGGAAAATTATTTATTCCAGTATATAAAAACTTTATCCTGTGATAATTACTACATGTAATTTTTTTCTTCCTTTTTGTTTATTTGTTTATTTTTTGGTGTGTGGTGTGAGGGACCAGGGCTTATATCCATGCTAGACAAGCACTCTATCACTAAGCCACATCCCAAGCCCTACTACATATAATTTTAAAAATTTATTCAAACTTTTCTCAAGACATGATGAAAATATAATTTAACATTTATACTGGTTGACCCACATTCATATCATTATCTACCAAAACTATGATAAAAAGTCTCTAGGTGACAATGTAAACTTACTACATATTACTCTTTTTTTTTTTTTTTTTTTTGGTGCTGGGTATTGAACCCAGAGGTATTTAACCATTGAGTAACATCCCCAGCGCTATTAAAACTCAGCTTGATAGCAAAGCTCACTTCAAGGGTAGAGTCATTGTATTACATATTTAAAATCTATGAAGGAATAATGTGGTTCCTAGCACAGTAGTCCCCTTATTTGTGGAGGATATGTTCTAAGATTCCCACTATATATCTGAAATCATAGATTGTACTGAACCCTATATAATACTATATGTTTTCCTATACATACATAACTATGACAAATTTTAATCTATAAACTGGGCACAATAAAAAAATTAACAATCATAAAATGGAACAATTATAACAATTTACTATAATAAAAAGTATGCAAATACGGTCTCTCTCAAAATGTGGAATTTTTCCCTTTAATATTTTCAGATTACAGTTGACCATGGGTAACTAAAACAGTGGAAAATAAAAATCATAGATGAGGGAGAACTAATGCAATCATTTTAGGAAGGCAAAAATAATTCAGGGAAAATAGACTAAAGGTGTGACTCTTGCAACTAAACTAGACAGGTTCAAGTATACTACAAGGAAATTTAGAAGGATATGATTTAATAAGGACCATACTTATAGCTACAGGCACATGGAGTGCCTGGAATAAAAGAGACAAAAAGTTGATTAAAATTTTAAAGGCATTTAATGACACCCCCCCAAGTCTAGCCTAAAACATATATGAATATATAAAACTCAAAATGATTCTTAGGTATTAGATGCACCAGGGTTGATTGCACTCATTCCCCTCATTTTTGTGTATGCTGGAAAATTTGCATAACACAAAGTGTTTTTTAATACCTTGCCTTTAAAAAGAATCATGACTGGGCTGGGGTTGTAGCTAAGTGGTAGAGGGCTTGCCTCCCATGCATGAGCCGCTGGGTTCAATCCTCAGCACCACATAAAAATAAATAAATAAAGATAAAGATTTTTTTTTAAAAAAAAAGAATCATGACTATTGAGATCTTAATTTTCTATAAGCAGGAAGCAAGCTGAAAACATTTCTGTTACAAAGGACAATATTTTCCCCAATGTCTACTTCACACAGTAGGGAAAATGAAAAGACCTTGCAGAAGGTTAAACCAAGCCCTACAGAGAACAATGAACTGGAAAGCTCCTTTGAGGGAACCAAATCAAGCAGAAGTAGATCCAAGTTTTCAGGAGCTTTAAGATAGTACACTTTGGAACTGTAAAACTACCATATCCACTGTAATGATACCCTATACAATAAATTATGTAAAGAAAATGTTTATGGCCTCTTGGAATGGCCCAACAAGTGAGAGGTCCTAAAGTTTAAGCCCCATTAGCTTTATAGTAAATCCATCTCTGGAACTGGAGTCCTCAGATGCCCAGGCAGATTTTAAAATTGCTACAGAACAATGTTATGTTTTCTATTCTCCAAATTCTGAATGGGAGTGTTTGCTCTGGAAAACTTGTTCTGTAAACCCACTACTATATACGGAATGTGTAGAGGTCAGACAACTTGTCTTTCTAGTTTGGAGGACTCTGGATCAAGAGGAACCACTTCCAAATCTGATGTAGACATAACCATGCCTCTAGAAATTCTGAATTTATGTATGTTTCATTTATTGATTACAACTTTTAAGTTGTCTCTCTGGAAAGGGAAGAGTGTATTTATGTACATTAAGGAGGTGAATAAGACATTATTGCACAAATTGTGATGGCTATTACTACTAGTCACTAAGCACTTCTTACCAACCCTTATTGGACATGTAATATGAAAGAACAATAGACCTTTGTCTTATAAAAGGGAAGGGAAGGGCTGTTTGTTTCCTAGCTTACTTATTATATAAATCTGTTGCTTCTTTTAATTATGAATTTCAGTTGTTAAACAGTTTAATTTCAAATAATACCATCTAACTATGGTAGATGATCTATAATCTTACCCATGTCTAACAATCATCATTTCATATGTCTGAATTATTTTCTCAAGAAAAAATTTAACAGGCTGAAGATTATGTGCGTGGCAAGTTTCATGAGTACATTCCAAAAATTCCTGAAACAAAAAAAAGTGGAATTCATTTCTATAAAATACAAAAATTATACACTATTATTACAAATCATGTCACATAGCTTTTTTTCCAAATTGAGAAGAATTAAGATAGCTTTACTATATTAGTATAAAATTATTAATAATCACAATATCATAGCATTGGGTGTACTCTTCATTAAAGAAAAAAAAAGAAGACACAACTCTTTAATAGCGTTTCCCAGACTTTTGGTTTGTTTTGGTTTTGGTTTTGGTTAGAATGTAGAATAATATGTAAGACAATCCTTCTCCCAGAGTAATTATAAATAAACAGAGAAGCTAAAAAAATTATATAAATATTGAAGATACAGGACCAACCTGGATGCAATTAAGTTTAAAGTATTTTAATTTCAGAAAGAGTGAGCCTTTCTTAGGTAAGCTGTTGGCAGCCTGGTAATATTTCTAAGACTGGACATGATATGCATTTGTTTGGGCCTGTTGTAGACAAAGGGAATTAGTTAGTAAAGAGAAATTAATAGAGATTAATGGTTATGTGGGCTGATGTGATAGGATTGAATGACCCCAAATGCAAAGGTGGTTCTTCTTATTGCTCATGTTTTTACCAAGCATGTAGACACATATAAGATCAAGTTCACCTAGAAAACGACAGAATTTCCTTAGTCTCAAGATGCTTAAATCTCAAAATCCTCCTGGAGGGAGAAGTCTATAATAGAACAAGATAGTGATTGTTCTACAGGCATTTGAAATCAGCAGGAAACTATAAGTCAAAAGAGCAGCAATAAAACTCTAACTTAAGTCAACTCCTGATAGAATTGATCAGCAACTCAACCTAGCTATCTAAAAGAAAAAAATAACACAATATTTCTCTAGGAAAATAAACCAATATAGCCCCTAAATTCACGTTATATGACAATGTTTAAAATAAAATCAGAACTTAAAAATCATGAGAAATAGCTAATGACCAAGAAAAAATAGTAAACAAAATAAATACAAATATTCAAATATTACCATTAGTAGATAAGAACTTTATCTTTTATAAAGTATAAAAGAAAAAAGACAAGATGATGGAAACAGGGCTAGGATTGTAGCTCAGCGGTAGGAGCACTGGCCAAGCATGTGCGAGGCCCTGGTTCAATCCTCAGCACCACATAAAAATAAATAAATGAAATAAAAGTATTGTGTCGGAACTATGACTAAAAAAATAAAATATATATATTTTTTTTAAATGATGGAAACAGGGGCTGGGGCTGTAGCTCAGTGGCTGAGCGCTCGCCTCACATGCATGAGGCACTAGGTTTGATCCTCAGCACCACATACAAAAATAAATAAATAAAACAAAGATATAAGAAAATGACAGAAACACATGAAAAGATAGAGAATTTCAGCAGAGAAAGAGAATCTATAAAAAGAGCCAAATCAGATACACTATTAACAGAAAGACAAAATATGTAAAATTAAGAATTCTTTGGGGGGCTGGGGTGGTGGCTCAGCGGTAGAGCTCTCGCCTCACATGGGTGAGACCCTGGGTTCGATCCTCAGCACCACATAAAAATAAATAAGTGAAATAAAGGTATTGTGTCCAACTACAAATAAAATATTAAAAAAAGAATTCTTTGGATGGGCTTATCAGAAAACTGGACAAAGCCAAAAAAAATAGAATAATTAATCTTGAAAATAGGTCATAAATGTCATTGGAGCCCCAGAAGAGGAGAAAAAAATATTTTAAGGAAAGAAGAAATATTTTAAAAGATAATTACTGAGAATATTCTAAATAGGCATATCCACAGATTTAAGAAGCATAGCAATCTCAAGCAGGCTAAGTTAAAAACACAGACACACACACACACACACACACACACATACACACACACTCATACAGCACATAGTCAAACTGCTCAAGATGAAGGAAAAAGAAAAATTATTAAAAATAGAAAAATACACATTACATTCAGGGGATCATAAATAGAAAAATATCTACCTTCTAATCACAACAATGAAAGCCAGTTGATAAAAATAACTTTAAATATTGGGGGGAAGAGGGGACGACCCTACCGATTTTGAACCCTATTACCTAAGGAGAATATTCACATACACACAAGATAGACCCAAGGAAGTCTTCTAGATTAAAGAAAAAGATCCCAGATAAAAACATATGAGGGCTGGGGTTGTGGCTCAGTGGTAGAGCGCTTGCCTACCATGTGTGAGGCACTGGGTTTGACTCTCAGAACTACATAAAAATAAAGGTCCACCAACAACTAATAAAATATTTTAAAAAATACATATGCACTGAAAGGAGGGTAAATAAAATAAGCACAATAAGCACTAGAAAACACCATACAGAAGTCTTTCTGTAAGGTTAGGGATGTAGCTCAGTGGTCAAGCACTTGCCTAGCTTGCTTCCTGGGTTCAAATCCCAGCACCAGGGTTGGGTTGGGGGTTCTTTCTCTTCAAAACTATTGTCTGAAGCAAAAGATAATAACACTGTATTTTAGCAACAATAGTACAATGGGCAGAAGTGAGAAGAAAAAGAATTATGCCATTGAAATTGCTTAAATTGTTTGCAAAATGGTAAAATACTAACTTAAGGTAAATAGTAATAAGCCAAAGTATAATCTGTGGAGTGACACTGAAGTCGAAAAGAGAAGATGAAATGGAGTGATAAACTGGGTGCAGCACAGTAGAGAGGTACAGTGCATTCTTAGCATGCATAAAGACCTATGTTTGATCCCTAGTATTGCCAAAAAAAAAAAAAAAAGAGAGAGAGAGAGAAAAAAATGGGTAATAAATATCACCTGAAATCCAAAAGAAGTCAGTAAATAAAGACAAGGGAATGTAGGACATATTAAAAAGCAAAATAATACATTTAGTAGCATTTTTCAAACTGGACTCTATGGACCTATTACTATATTAGTAGGAGCACAAGAATCTTTCAAGATAACATTAAAATTTGAAATTTTCATTTCTGATATTTTAAAAAAATCATATTAGGCTGGGTGTGGTGGCACATGCCTGTAATTCCACCTACTTTGGAGGTTGAGACAGGAGAATTCCAAGTGCAAGGCCAGCCCGAACAACTTAATGAGACTCTGTCTCAATATGCAAAAATAAAGAGGGCTGGGATGTACTCAACAGTATGTTTGCCAAGCATGTTTACACATAAGTTCAATCCCTAGTATGAAAAAGAAAAAAACATTAGCAATTCTGAATCATCCTGGTAATCACTTCAACTTGGTATTGCCAGAGGAGAAGTATATTAGTATTCAAGAGTGAGAATTTTAAAAAGTCTAAAAAGAAAATGATGACTAAGTAAAGTGATTCCTTAATGATTTAACAGTTCAAATGAAGAGGAAAAAAATTACAGTAATATCAACAGAGAAACATGGTGGGAGACATGAATCTTTATATGGCAAAAAGAAGTTCATACATGCTGAATGCAAAACAATCCTCATTTTACAATAGAATTGCCATAAAATGACAACTTTGTTTCTCTAATTTAATTAACTGAGCTAAATTGAATATTATTGAGATTGTTTTAATGGCATTTAACTTTTAATTTTATTTTGGCACTATATTACAGGCATATCTCATTTTATTGTGCTTTACTGTGCTTCACAGAAATTATATTTTTACATATTGAAGGTTTGTTGCAACATTGCATTCAGCAAGTCTATCATCATCATTTTTCTTTTTTATTCTAATGCATTAAAATTCATATTACACTTTTATAGCACAATTTTTCATATCTCTGGTTGTATACCAAGTATATTCACACCATTCGTGTCTTCGGGTGATGATGTCCACCTCATTCCATTTTTTTTACACCCCTTGCTCCCTCCTTTTTGCGTTCTCCACTTTGTCCTATCTGGAGTTTGTCTAATCTTCCCAAGTTTCCCCTCCCAATCAACCCCACTATGAATCAGCCTCCTTATATCAGAGAAAACATTTGGCATTTGGGTTTGGGGGATTGACTAATTTCACTTTGCATTATATTCTTCAAATCCATCCATTTACCTGCAAATGCCATGATTTGATTTTATTCTCTTTTATTGCTGAGTAACATTCCATTGTGTATATGTACCACATTTTCTATATCCATTCATCTACTGAAGGGCATCTAGGTTGGTTCCACAATTTAGATATTGTGAATTGTGCTGCTATAAACATTGAAGTGTCTGAGTCCCTGCAGTATGCTCTTTGTAAGTCCTTTGGGTATAGACTGAAGAGTAAGATAGCTGGGTCAAATGGTGGTTCCATTCCCAGTATTCAAAGGAATCTCCATACTGCTTTCCATATTGGCTGCATTAATTTGTAGTCCCACCAGCAATGTGTGACTGTGCCTTTTCCCCCACACTTATTGTTGTTTGTATTCTTAATAGCTGCCATTCTTACTGGAGTGAAATGAAATCTTAAGAGTAGTGTTGATTTGCACTTCTCTAATTGCTAGAGATGTTGAACATTTTTTCATATATTTGTTGATTGATTGTATATCATCTTCTGAGAAGTGTCTGTTCAGTTCCTTGAATGGATTATTTGTTATTTTGATGTTTAGCTTTTTGAGTTCTTTATATACTCTAGATATTAGTGCAAGTGATGTGCAAGTGGTAAAAAATTTGCTCCCATGCTGTAGGCTCTCTATTCACCTTGCTGATTGTTTTTGCTGAGAAGAACCTTTTTAGTTTGAATTCATCACATTAATTGATTCTTGGTTTTAATTCTTGCACTATAGGAGTCTTATTAAGGAAGTCAGGGCCTAATCCGATATGATGGAGATTGGGGCCCCTATTTTCTTGAGAAGGCACAGTGTCTCTGGTTTAATTCCTAGATCCTTGATCCACTTTGAGTTTTGTGCATGGTGAGAGATAGGGATTTAATTTCATTTTGTTGCATATGGATTTCCAGTTCTTCCAGCACCATTTGTTGAAGAGGCTATCTTTTCTCCAATGTATGTTTTTTGGCACATTTGTCAAATACAAAATAACTGTAATTATGTGGGTTAGTCTCTGTGT